ACTTTTGTTACTTTAAGAATGAATGTTACCGGACATAGTGTGGCTGAACTCAAATCAGATATAACTGTAACACGTGTAATCAGCAGTCACTGGAAGACGAGAAGACCTAAAGCCACAACACACACACTGTTAACTGAACACTCTACACCACAGAGAGAACGAGGAATGGAGGCCAATAGACGTTTATTTAAAAATTAAAATCCGCGGGTTCTATACAGAAAGAGAGCTAGTTTACAAAATGGTCTTATGAGTCATCCTGTAAGTTCAGTGCGTGTAGGGCTTGCTCTTCTTCTTCTAAAGCGTTTATTCTTGCTTTCCCTGCAATAGAAGGAAAACAAAATCTATTAACAACATCATACATGATGATTTTAATCCCGTTACATCGCCCCCTCTCCTAATGAGGCACTGTCCTCAGTGCCTGATCTTGGGCATGGGTATGCTGTCCCTCCTTCAGATGGTACTTCGTAAAATCTGGTGGCCGGCGGTGGATCAGCGAGTTGAGCATCGAAGGGAAATGTCGTCCGATCGGGTTTTATCTGGTTGTAGTGCACCGTTATCACATCGTCTTTAGGTCGTTGTATGTTACGCAATACAAACGTGGTGGGCGATCGGATGAGGACAATTTCAAAGGGGCCTTGCCAGGGTTGGTGGAATTTACTGCAACCCCCTAGCGACGTCATTGGGCGGCGTAACCAGACGCGATCTCCAACCGTATACCTAGGTCTTTGTGCTTGACGATCATATATATCTTTTTGGTGTCCACTAGCCTTGCCTAAGTTAATGTTGACCAGACGGTAGGCATCAGCTAGTCGGTTGCGAAGAGTACGTATGTACGGAACATGCTCTTGTTCTTCGTAGGGCAGCAGGGGTGAGTGTATCTCTACTGGTAGGCGTAGTTCATGCCCGAACAGCAAAATAGCAGGCGAGAATCCCCTGGACCCATGTACCGACGTACGATATGCTAAAAGGCATTGGGGGAGCACCTCATCCCATAACTCAGGTGACGATCTGCTGACAAACGACTGCAAGATAGCTTTAATAGTTCTGTTTGTTCTTTCCACGAAACCGTTACCTTCTGGGTGATAGGCAGTGGTGTGTGTCTTCTTGATTCCTAATAGCCGGCATATCTCAGTAATTAGGTGGCTTTCAAAGGATGGACCTTGGTCGGAGTGGAGTGAGACAGGGGCACCATAACGGGAGACCCAGTGATCGATGAAAGCTCGGGCAACAGTAAGGGCGTCTTGCTGTGGAAGGGGTACAGCTTCGCACCATTTAGTGAAATAATTCACCATAACCAGTATGTAGCGGTTCCCGTTTTTTGTCGTAGTTAGTGGTCCCATGATGTCTATACCAACTCGCTGGTGTGGTCCTGTCGTCACCATCGGCGTCATTGGTGCACGGGGTGTCTGCTGAGGCGATTTAAAACGGCAGCACGTGTTACAATTCTTGCAAAACTGAGATACATCTTCGTGTATGGAAGGCCACCAAAAGCGTTGACGGACAGCGTGTTCAGTTCTCCGTTCTCCGGCATGACCAAGTTCGCGGTGTACATGTTCCACAATACTCTCAACTTTCACTCGCGGTACTATCAGTAGGGGTTGTTTTGATTCATTCATTAGGAATAATGTGTCACCATATAGCTTGAAGTTACCCCATTTGGTGCAGATACGACGAGTTGTTACGGATTGATCTTTAAGCTCCCTCATGGATGGCTTACTATTTCCATGTAGCTGTCTTTGATAAACAATCTGTAAGTCTGGATCTGCTGCTTGTAGGGAGGGCCAGTCTGTCTCTGGAGCTGTACTAAGAATTGCGTTAATAATATCTGTGGTCTGGGGTATTCGGGAGAGGGCATCCGCGTTTGCATGTCGATTTCCCGGTCGATACTCGCATGTGAAATCGAACTCTTGTAGCCTCTCCTGCCAGCGTGCCACTTGCCCTTCTGGTTCGCGGAAAGAGAGGAGCCACTGCAGTGCACGGTGATCCGTGCGCACACGAAAGGGTTTGCCCAGCAGATAATGGCGAAAATGTTGTAAGAATTTTACTAGTGCTAACATCTCCCGACGTGTTGTAGAATATCGTGCTTCACTCTTATCTAGTCGTCGACTAGCATACGCAATGACCCTTTCGTGTCCATCTCGAGCTACTTGTGATAAAACTGCTCCAATAGCCGAGGAACTAGCATCCGTATCAAGTATAAATTCGCCTCCGTCTGCTGAAGTATCTGGGAAGGCTAATATAGGTGGAGAAGTTAACCGAGCCTTCCAAGCTTAGAACGCCTGTTGACACTCGCTGGTCCATAAAAATTTTCGTCATTTGTGGGTTAATCGGTGCAAAGGTGCTGCTAATGATGCGAAATCACGTACGAAGCGTCTATAGTAAGAAGCTAGTCCAAGGAAGCTACGAACGTCTTCAGGTGATTTTGGTTGCGGCCAATTAACAATCACACGTGTCTTTTCTTTATCTGTTGCCAATCCATCTTCTGTAATGCGGTGCCCTAAGAAAAGCACTTCTTTTTGCAATAGTCAACATTTAGATGGTTTCACTTTTAGGTTATGCTGCCTAATACGTTGTAGGACTGCCTTCAAATTGGCATTATGTTGTTCTGGCGTGCTGCCATATACAATAATATCGTCAAGGTAGATTAAGCACTGGTGCGGTACGAGACCTTGCAGAACTGTCTGCATCAATCGTTGGAAGGTTGCTGGGGTATTAGTTAGCCCGAAAGGCATTACTTGAAATTCATATAAGCCATTAGGCACTACAAATGCAGTTTTTTTTCTATCTTGGGGTCGGACTTCCACTTGCCAGTACCCTGATGCTAAGTCTAGCGTTGAGAACCAGCGAGCACCTTTCATGGCATCTAAGGTAGCGTCTATCCGTGGAAGTGGAAAAGAATCACGCTTAGTTATAGCATTAAGGCGTCGGTAATCTACACACAGTCGTAGGGAGGAATCCTTCTTTTTTACTAAGACAATTGGCGATGCCCAGGGTGACGAAGATGGTACATATCTTTTATCATTGATTCTAAATGAGGCTGATAATGCACCGGACTCTGCGAGGTGGTTGGCGTAATGGCATGTGGCCACCTGTGACAATGGAATGTTGCACAATGGTTGTCCGATTTCCAGAGATATTCCCCGAGAAAACAGTGCTAAATCGTTGGAGTACGTCAATGGTAGCTCGACGGTCCTTTTCACTTATTAATTGGTTATCTTGTACCTGACGTACAATCTCTGCAGTTCCCACCTGGGCTACGGACTTAGTTGGTATTTCATGGTGTTGTATTTGCACGACAACTCCACCAATACTCGCTTCTGACTTATTCATGTGTATAGAGACCTGGTATTTTAACATAAAGTCGACCCCGAGAATCATGTCCCAAGTCAGTCTGGGGCAAACCCAGAATTCATGTTGAAAAGGCTTCTTGTCAATCGTCAGCTCTAACCCTATCTTAGAACACGCTTTCAAGGGTTCTCCGCTCGCGGTAATTAAGGTAGAAGAGCATTGTTTATGCTGAGTGCTGGGGTTAAGTTTCTGCAAGAGGTCTTCCTTGATCAAGGATACTGAAGCTCCTGTATCTAATAGTATATTAATCTCAGTACTTTGCACTCTACCCTTAATAGTAACAGGGCACAAATGTTTAACATAGCAAGACGATATATGCAAACAACACTGCTTACCTCTGTTTTTCACGCGGTTATGCCCGCATTTCTTGGCATTTTTGCCGAAACGTCTGCAGTAGAAGCATTCTGTTTGCTGGCCTCGATAGTTGTCCCTTGACGACCGTCCGTTCCATGTGGAAGTCGGCTGCCCTCGTCCACTATTCCGATCAGGGAACTCTCTAATAGCCGCGGCGCTTTGAAAGCTATCTTGTAGATTAGGTTCGGTGGTTTCATCGATAGTCATCACGGTTGGTCGATAGGTCGCCAATGGAACTGACAGTCTTTCAGCAGTCAACAACCGAAGTGCCGTTCGTTTCAAGTCGGCTGTGTCAGCCGGTGGCACTCGAAGTAGATGTTCTCGCAGTGCACCTGGCAGCAGTCCTTCAATAAAACGGGAGCGTGTAATTTCTTCTCGCCCCAAGATGTCCAGGCTAGGGAATGCCTGGGTTGCCATCTGCTGTAATGAGTGAAGATAGTCGATGGGGCTTTCCTGAGGTTTCTGGTGGCGAGACAAAAACTGAATTGTCATCTGCTGGGTGTCTACGGGCAGGGAAAAGCAGTCGTCTAGAATTCTCCAGTTTTGTGAGAGCGTGTTACTGGCCGCAAAACCGTTCGCTATAGCCCTGCGTACTGCTTCATCGCTCAGATAGGAAACAAGGTAGTTGAAATGCTCGGTCAATGGAACTCTCTGAAGGTACGCTGTGACTTTAAATTTCCAAACGGAGTAATCTGATGATGTTTCGAGCAGTGGTGGCTGGTGTGGAGTTGAACTGGGAGTAGCCCTGATTGGAATCAGAGGGGGTTCGTCTAGGTTCACATCGCGTTTTTCCATCTCACCTCCGACACCAGTTGTAACACGTGTAATCAGCAGTCACTGGAAGACGAGAAGACCTAAAGCCACAACACACACACTGTTAACTGAACACTCTACACCACAGAGAGAACGAGGAATGGAGGCCAATAGACGTTTATTTAAAAATTAAAATCCGCGGGTTCTATACAGAAAGAGAGCTAGTTTACAAAATGGTCTTATGAGTCATCCTGTAAGTTCAGTGCGTGTAGGGCTTGCTCTTCTTCTTCTAAAGCGTTTATTCTTGCTTTCCCTGCAATAGAAGGAAAACAAAATCTATTAACAACATCATACATGATGATTTTAATCCCGTTACATAACAATGTCTTGATTTAACCGCTTCTGCAAAACCATATGGATTGTCGAGGTGACGCACCAATCGTTTTACGACACTTTGACCTTCAAATGCTCAGTAACCTCCAACGGTGGACGATAACAGTGAAGCGTTGCCTTACTTGATTTACTAACTGTGGCTTTCAATTTATGTCCACCTTTATCCTACAGGTGTTCCAATGAAGGTGAGATATTGTTTTAGACTGGGATAAAAATTCTGAAGGTGCGTGTGATTTACGACTTTGTTGCTCAATGGAGTGGTGAATTAACTGTTTGTACTGGAGAGGAACTCACAATCACAAATCAAAATGTCGGATCAGGGTGGTGGCAAGCAGTCAATGCGTTTGGAAAAGAAGGTCTCATTCCATCAGAATTTGTTGAAATTATTGAGTTACCAGAACCACCAGTACCACCTCCTCCTTTACCTGCTACTGAATTTGGGAAGGAGATCGATCGTTGTGATGAATGGGATGATGAGTGGGATAGTGATGAAAATGATATTCCCAGTTCGGTATGTTGATTATTTGATGTTTCGTCAGCATTCCATAAGTATAAGTTAGCGAACCGTTAAAAGCCGAGGATGTCAAGTTATTCAGCTAACTTTTCATATCATTCACTGTCATATGCTTAGGTTTTTTGTTATGTATAACTCGTAGTTTTAATATACCAAGCCAGCAGACGAGGTAGTATTTCCTTTTGGTGGGTAAATTTTCCAGAAAGACGTACCTTAACGTAAAATAGCCTGCCATACCCAACATTACACGTTGGATTCGTAAAGGGTCTGATACACAGAGTAGACCAATCTCCAAGGCGGATAAGTGATTGTGTGAACCAGTTATTTAGGTCCCTGCCTCCTATTTCGAGTTGAGGGCGTTACAAATCAGAGATCATGTATGAGATAACACCTACCGTAAAAATGTGTAATAATGCTTATGGAGTTTTTGTGTCATGAAAGTTACACAAATTAGGTGCCTTTCCCAATGTTGCTTTTCTTGCTTAGGCTATCGGAATCAATTTAAATCACGCTTTTGCTCTTTACGTGTAGAACAAAAATACGAATGACCGATATCAACAGCCAGTTGAATGCAGTACATCGCAAACCGGAGGCAAGCAGACGGACCCCTTACTGTCTGCGTCTAATAATGTTGATTACGTACGCAACACACTTATACGAAAGTTCTTCCACAGGTTAGTTCCAACTTTTCAATGTACTTCCATTTGATCATGTACTGACTCAATGTCTCTATACAAATTTTGAAGATAATTCATGTTAATTAAATTTAGAATCAAGACCTTTATCACCCAAAAGTTTTAGCCGAGCAAAGTCATTACGAATATCTTCAAGGTCACTAGTCTTTGGTATGCAGTTTGGAAGAATGAGGGGTTTGCATTTAAAGTCCGTGAGTGAGTGGGATAGATGATCCTAATGAAATCCGTGTACTCATTTTTGAGCTACACTTTTGTGCGCGTGCTAGTAAAATCATCTGTACATCGAAACCAAACTAGATGGAATGTGGCTCAAACACATGACCCATTGGTTGAAAACCAATTACCTCAACCACATTCAGTTACCCATTAATAATTTTCTAAACCAACAATATATATTGAGCAAAGTTGACAGATTGTCATCCTTCACTAACCTTGCTTTTTAATGCTCTTGTTAGATATATGGTAATTTAGCGGCGTCTACTGAACTGATATGTGGTCGGGAAATGATCGCTTCTGGCTTTGAACACGAGGAGCGGAGGCAGTTTAAAAGTAGGCTGGTAGAACGCGTGCGCAATGACCGTTTGCAGTTGCGGGTAGTGAAAGAAGAGATGGAAAGGGCAGTAGCGATAGGTGATAGCAGACAACTGTTCAGATCTAGCAAGGAAACGGGTATTAAAAATTTGACTGTTAGTATGGTTATAGTTCACTCTCGATCCAGGAGACTGAATCGATAGATAGAAATTTTGGGGAACAGTTCAAGTGGCCTTCAGCCACACTTTAGTGACCCACGTTCTCCAAGCAACCTAAATGGCGAATCGACACAAGTCCTCCAACTATAAGTTAGGTTGAAAAGGCTATAAGTAACCTAAAGCGAGGAAGAACAGGAGGCTCAGATGGAGTAGTCCCTGAAAGCTTTGAGGATGGTGGTCCAGTTTTGGCAGTTAGTGACAGATCTTAGCTAGAATCTTAGATCTGAATGTAATCCCATTTGACTGATCATCCCAGCTCGTACAAGACGACACAATTCCTGGTGTTATAATCATAAAGGAACCAATCCGACTAGCATGGTATCTAAAATAGCCTCAGCAATACTCGAATACTTAATTAATGCTCGTGAAGAGCGAGTTCGAGAAATCGATTCTGGTTTCAGACCTGGGCATGAGTCTATCGATCAAATATTCACCCTTCTTTAGGTCCTGGAAATTAGACATACTTTCCGACATCCGACTATAGTTGTATTCCTTGACCTTAAAGGACCAATTAACTCTGCTGGTCGTAAGATTTGGCAGCTGTCTGCTATTGGATGACTTACCAAAAAAGTACGTCAACACTGTACAGGCTTTCTACTCGAACATTACTGCTTGGGTCAGAATTTATAGCGAACTGTCATTGGAATTGCTTATTTCAAGTGGCGTTAGTCAGGGTTGTCCGCTTTCCTCATTCTTATTTGACTTTGTCATAGATATGCTTCTAGAGACAACACTTTCATCGTCTGACTTTTCAGGTGTTGATCTCCCACTAGGAAATTCAATTGTTGACTTGGAATACGCAGATGATGTAGTTCTGTTTGATGATGCTGACGAAATGCAGTCTTTAGACTACTTTAATGAACAATGCAAACATGTTTGAGATACGATTCTCTCCCTCCAAATGTAAGGTGTTGCTTCGGAACTTTTCTGGGTCATCGAACTGAATTAATGATAAGGAGTGAGGTATCTGAACGTGTCTATAGCTTCGGTTACCTGGAGAGTCATCAGTCCTGATAGTCTGGTGGTGTCCGACAAAACTTCGGCACGGATTCAGAAGTCTCGACTGGCTTTTGCCAACTTGCATCATTTATGGGATAGGCGAGATATCTGTCTTTCAATCAAAGAACGAGTTTACTGCTCAGAAATTTGCTGCGTCCTACTTTATGGGTTTGAGACATGGTAATTTAGAATAGAGAATATTCGTAGATCACTAGTATTCGATCATGAATGTCTTCGAAGCATCACTCGTGTAATTTGGGACCGAGTAAGCGATGTCGAGGTTGGGATTAGGGAACTAGGTAAATATGGGAAATCACTCAATGGGGTAGTAAACCTTCATCAACTGAGATAGTTGGGACATATGTCGCGTTTGCTTACTGAACGCCTATCTCCACGGGCTATGTTTTCTAGTGTAGGAGTAGGCTGTTAGGAAGTTAGGGGCGACCAAACCAAAACATAACATCAGTCCATGAAGTCAGTGGCAACTGGATTGAGCCACGTTAATAGTTGTAGACTACCTGGTTTGGATCCACGTGATATTCGTAAACAGCACATTATGACAGTCCAGTTTGTGCATCATTTTTTGCATTTGTTTCACGCATTCACCAATCAATTCTTTGGTTATCGACTTGAATGCCAACGTATTTTTTAAATACTGTAATAATTTCTCAGTGAAACTCACGGTTCAGTTGACCGGACAAATTGTACTGTCATATATTATATATCAGTGAGTTTTAGCTAAGATTGAGCTAGATGATTCTATCTGAATTAAAAATGTGTTCATTTCGATCTACTGAGTCTGCATTATAACAATAAATTCATATAAAAGCTGTTGTATTTTTTCTCATTTTCATTTTAACATTTCTTTGATCTCATCATAGATCATTCATCCGTAATGGTTGTGAAGATTTTTTGTTGGGTCTCGATCCACCACCTTTTCCTCAAACCGAAGCTAACATCGATGTCAGTTGATAAGTAATGTAGCTATTTTCCAATTTGTTTTTGTGCTTTCTAAAAAATAGACTTCCAAACTTAGTTTGCATTTTCAAATTCAGTGTCAAAATGTAAGATGTAAGGGTATCTTGTTAGTATCAAATTGGGTGATATATGTCATTTGGTGTTGTATACATGCCCAGAATTTGTTTGTTATAGTATAGAAAATCAGAAACCATCTAGTAACCAAGAATTTCAAAGTTGGTCCTCATGACTGAGTTGTTAAATGTTAACATGCTTGCTACATGGCTGATAATTCCCCGAGTACAGGGTGTGTAAATTTTCTAGGTATTCTCAATTAATATACAACATCTATCTAGTTTTTAATAGATTTCTGTGATATATTGATTTTCTATCATTTAAATTACACTGAATCTAGCTAGACCATCATTGAAAAACCGTAATCACTGGACGGCCATTCCAACTTAGTATGGGACGCCTTAACAATGTACACCCACGATCTCACTACAGAAGATCAAACTCAGGACCTTAATTCTTGCTCGTGAAAGCAATATCTCTAGGTCATTGAGCCAACATCCAGTGGTGTTAATGTTTGTCTAGCTCCAATCACTTCATGACATTCCGCAACCACCTCCCATTACCTACAGTTGATAGGTGTCTTACACACGACATGATTGAACTACACTGGTCGATGCGTCTCTAGGATTACTTGAATTTCATCGAGAATGTAGTCACTGGCGAGCACATGGTTGTCGTTAGTGTAGGGGAATTCATCGGCGTGTAGAATTTTTTATAGTTTGAATCGCAAACTTTTCTTGACTAGACCTCCATTAGAAACTTTGAAGTACTGAATGTCAGTTTCGTCCTAGTATTTTACTCTTTAGGACCGGGATTTGTGGAGAAAACTTACAGGTCACAACTCAGTTATAATTCTAACCCTAGACATTCCTAACTATTATCACATTTCAAGATTCATTCATATTATGGTGAAACCGTTCATTCATAGTTTCTACTATACTGTTAACTGTTTTATGCTTCTTATAAAATGTACCTGCTAGATTAAGAACGCTGACAATCAGCAATATAAATTTAGGAAAAAGTATAGGAAACACTAATTGTAATAGTGAAAATATTTCTGTGTATTTTTATCCTCATAAACTGTTTAAGTCTATGATGTATGTAACTATGACTTATTAATTGAACTAGTTGTTACATGCTTAGCTACGTAGGTCATTACATTCGATGTCCGTTAATTTAGAACTGGAGTACAAACGATTGCAAGTTGGTTAGATCAGATTGTAAACATACCGCCGTTGGTCACTTAAACTTGTTTTCATTTTATAGGTTTAGTTGTCCATGACATTTGAAGTGCTGTTAATAATTCAGAGCTTAATATGCTTATAAAGTAAAAAAACTAGCTCTCGTAACTTACTGAGATTTTATATTGATAAGTTGAACCGACATGTCAGTTTAATACGTTTTACGCTGTATAATATTTGTCTATTCTAGCCATTGAAAGTTACATCGCCTGATTGTTTTAGCATTGTTTTCTTTAGAAAAATGATACAAATGCACCACTGTCTTTTTTGGTAAATTTATGGTGGAAGTGAGGCGGTTATCACCAGCGAAATAGAATAATCTTATTTTACGAACTCAATAAAGTCAGGAATATCAACTCTGTAGATTCCAACTCAGTGGTCTAAAGTTACCTCGTTCACCACTACAGCAGATAGTCCCGAGTCCGAACGTATGTGGCGCCTTTCATTGTACACACTATTGGTGAATCACAAGACATAGTCAAACATCTGTTTACTGCACCTTGGATTCTAATAGTTCTCTATCTAATGTCAGTTCGTGTTAGGGAACTAATTTCCGATTTTGTAACCTTTAAAACCCTTTTACCATTAAACTTGATGGATTAAATTTTACAATTTTATTGCGTATGTTTCGTTAAGAATATATTCTAAATTTTCAGTAAACATTTAGCATTAAGTTTTCATCATCCACAAAAAAGTAATTCAAATTTAGGTTTCTGAATTGACGTTATGTGATTAGATTTGGTGCATGGTGTTCACATAAAAGATGAAAACCAACAGTAACTAACCGTTTTTTATAGATTGAAATAAAATATATTGCGTATTTTACTTCTGTCTAATTATCTGGTTTCATTTATTTTACCCTCATTTCATTTACTGCTGCTGCTTTTCTACTCTAGTATGTAGATGATTCTTTCCAATGGCGTCACTTGTCAAGAGATCTCACTAGCTGTATTTCATCGTTTCGTAAAGATTCAAAAATGAAGGGGATCAAAAGTTTTATCGCTTATCAAATAACTAATTCAGTAGGTTTTTTGATTATTTCTTATTTATCATATATATATATCAAAAGAATAGCTTGTGTTGAATACATTGATTTACACTTGATTATGCTTAGTTTCCTTATCTAGGTTATATTTTTATGGTTTGCTTATAATTTTGAAATGGTCAGGTCAGAGACATTAAATATGTAACCTAATCTCGAGCTCCGAAATTATGGAACTAACTTGTACAACTTCATGTAGTTAGTTTAGCTTTTCATACAATTTTGTGCATGGAGTATCTGAATCACACTTATTTTTTAATGGTTCCAACTCTCGGAAATGAAACTTTTCATATTGTAATCAAACAGAGGCGAGTGTGACTTTCGACAGTATAAAGTTCTGATTGTTGTATTTTCTAACCAGACTTAAGTTGAAGTACTTCACTTGGTCCATTTACAACCATTCAGCTCTAGTGGAGGAATCGGAAAAGTGTTAGAACATTCTCATGTAGACTATGTACAATCTTGAATGTTTTCACTAATTGTATCTCCTTTATTGTTTGGATTATCATAATACATATATTTTGTTCCCTCTTAGATCTTGGTCAGATATGGTAAGACTGGAGGGAAGTATTGTGTCCAAGAAATAATAAACATTGGAAAAACATAACAATGTGCTTGGAAAATTTTATTTTAGTCTTAGCATCTTGTCTAATCGCGGATTCATTCTCTATAAAAATATTAAATCATATTAGATTTCAGGAAGCTGACTCTCTCTTTGTAGTTCCAATCTTCTTCATGCGGCTTCATAACTTAAGACTACTGCTACTTGACTAACTAGCATGAAGCTTACGCCAGAAAGTGTTTACTGCAGACTCATTCCAACAATAACATACTGCACATGATATCAAGTCACACTAGTGGCCACATTTCCTAGCATTATCTATAGAATTCGATCATCACTAAGGGACTAGTGAACTATCACGAAACTAGTCACTACCCACTCATTGATCAGTTAATTGTCAACGGGCGTCACTCAGAAGTATAGCTCAAAGTTGGGTACGTACTTCCCTATTCTTGATAAACAAGTTGCCTTGAGCTACCTGACTGACTGACCAAACTGAATTAGTTGAGACGAGGTTTGCATCCAGAATCTTAGTTGTAAACCGAGTGGCTTAATCACTAAACCATAAAGTTTTATATGCACTAATATTTTTATCGCTTACGTGTGCGTTAATTCACACTTATTAAATAATGAGAAACGAATGGATAACCTCACACAGGAATAAGAGGAAAGACTGTTTGATTAATTACCCGAATTATGTATATAACTGTTTAATTAATAAATGACGCGAAAAGTGAAAGTGTGTAGGATAAAGCTGTGAAGTATAAGAGCGGATTAGTCAGGTTTAAGAACGCGATTTCGATATCATAGCTTTAAATTCAAACAAGAATGTTGACTGTTGATCGAATGCTCTTTAATCTTGACGGTAATATAATAAAAACCATTTTATATTGTTGTAATCGAGAAATAAAGCCACTAGGATTTAAACATAAACGTGATCAAGTTATATTTCGATGCCGCTTTTGTATCGTTTTCAGAAATCTAAAAGAGGCTGACTCATTCTTCACTCTCTCCAAAATGACTTATATAAATAAAACATTTAGTCATAAACCGGATTATGTGAATCCCAGTAACCAGTACAATTATCTTTACAGAGGTACGTGAATTAACAGGATCTTTGAGGTTTAGGAAATGGTCATTGGAAGGTTAAAAAAATGGTAGATTTCCACATTAGATATCTCTATAAATAACACTTCGAAGAGTATACCAGATAGACTAGCTTCAACCTTGCTTCCTAACTTTATGAAAAACGTTGGGTCAAGGAAAAAAAGACAACTATGGAGTGTATAACTGCCTTCTGGGATTTAAATACGACCATCACGTTTTTGTTTTTGTTCAAAAGCTCATCAATTTGTGGACCATTTTACAGGGTTACATGTGAATAATCTCACGATGATTTGATCGCGCCTGACGAATTATCTCCTTATAAATATCGACAAAGAAAACCTATTTTCTTCTGACGTTCGGTTTTGTACAAGACACTTGTATAGGTGTAAGGCAAAACGGGGAGTTGTTATTCTTTGTCCGACTGTATTACAATCCTGTCGTTATTATGTTAATTTTGTCAGTTACATTGTTCAATAGTTTGGAATGATAAGTAAGATGTATGTCAAGGGAATACTGTTGAGATCGAAATAGATTATTCCGATGCGTTTCGCTAACATCAGATTCGTAAGCTGTACCTAATAAATGTAGATTAGTTGTTGCTTCTTGACATGGTTTAATGCGCAGTAGTTCACTCTGTTCTACTTTATGAATATGAAACATAACCATTATGGAAACAGGATACTTTTAGTTTACTAGTATTAGATCGTGAACGTCTTCGAAGGGTTCCTCGTAGATATTGGGACCATGTTTTGTACACATTATTTTATTTTTCTACAAACTGTTTGTTCTGATTAGGGCTGAATAATTACTGAGTTGTGAATGATTTGTTTAATTAATGTGTAGATTTTCTACTTTTTTTGTCTATATGTGTTTTTAAAAAAATTTAGGTTACTCAAACTCAAGTCAGTAGAAGATATAAACATTTTGATTGGCTTCATTCACGTTTATTATCAAAATATCCATGTATTTGTATTCCACCATTACCGGAGAAGGCAATCACAGGTAATATATATATATATATATATATATATATATAACTATTACAAACTTGTTGAATGTTCGGTTAACTGCTTTATTTGTATACTTTAGTTAACGGTTAGAGAATCATACTCAGAACATGAGGTTTGTCAGAATCGGTTTATCTATTGGTATTAAAACACCTCACCCTTCGTATTTTTAACATCAGTCAAATGATAAGGTTTTCCAACTCATCGTCCACATTTTTGTTACATTACAACAGTTGCAGATATTGTGATATATTACTCTATTGATATTCAGGAGACTAAAGTTGAATAATTTACTTCATTGTGTATTTTTACCATATAGATTGGAGGATGTTTTTTAATGAAATTAATCAAATCTCTTGATCATATGTGTCACAGTAATAGCACATAAATAAACTACTTTTCTTGGTAGTTTTCTCTAAATTCACTTGTTATTTGCTTTATAACACTACTTAGAATTGTTAAACCAACACATTTGAGTAAAAAATACGAGCCCAGGTAAGCTAAAACAAGCTACTGATGATTGACAAATAAGCTAAGTATTTCATGCACATAACCCCTTCATCATTTTTCAGAGAGCAAAATCAAAAACTTCAACAGAATATTGTGAACTCATTTAATTGGTTTGGTTCTCTTTAAGCTGTAATATTTAAAAATCGTAGTGATGAATTGGGTTCAAATTATATATATATATATATATATATATATATATATATATATATATATATATATATTGATGTAATTGATGTAATCATTACCATGACAAGGATTTGGAATGATGACATCGGGCGTAGACAATTATCGATTTAAATTATATCTTATTTCTACCATTCTCAACCTGATTGCTTTATAGTATGCAACACACTGAAAATGATTAGTTTTCTCAGATCTATATATGAAGCTACACAACTATAACGAATAATTATCAATTCAATTTTCTCTGTTTATTAGACATTGTTATTTTCTTAAGTAATTTAAATTACATGAGGTGTTGTCTAAACTAGGACTTAAAAACAATACATACCCAATTATATATATATATATGGGGACCTATTATTTATTGAATGAATTTTCAGTGAAAATAAGTTGATCATCTAAGTTATTTGTCAATTCTTAAATAATTAATTAATTATATACAAACATTTCTACTTATATCGTCATATTTTTAATTGAATAGTTTGTTCATATTGAAATATTGTTTTGTTTATCTGAACATTTTTTTACTAAACTTATTTAGTTTATTTTTAATTTTCATTATTGTTCATTTAATTTAATTAAACTTTCATAATTTTGATATGATACACAAGTCACCTTTTGGTAAATTTACCTAACGCTTAATAGATCCGATTTAACTGGAAAAAAAGAAGATAATTACTTGGAAAATGATTCGAACAAAAAAAGAATGTTTATGGTATGTATTTCCACATGTACAAAGTTAAAGGGATGACTGGGTGGATATTAAACAATTAACTGCTGGATCCAGTCAGTTGCGACTGATTGTCATCTCAGTATTCATATTCGGTGGAAGCATTCAACTTTCGCCCAGGCAGTGACTCGAGAATGTTTAGATAGAACAGAGTTTACACCATGGGCGAGCTGCTGTATAAGTTGAAAAGTGGGGATACATGAAGTGAGAATAGAGGTAGATAAGTGACGTAGTGTATAAAAAAATAGTAATAATAATATTAATAAGTGAATATGAAATGTCTGAACTGTAATTGGAGCAAACGTAGTCTTTCGTGAAATAATTCTCATCATCAGATTTTTGCGAGGGCTGTGCTACTGCCCGGGTGCCCAGACCGAAGCAGGTGGTTTTCTTAGTGGGCCACAGCCCGAGCCTTTGACCCAAAGGTCTGATCCACAAGGCAGTGGAGCATCGTAGAGATTCAGTCCCATGGTAGCAGATGACCACCGATTGGTTCATACACTATTGGTTTGAAATCAGGGTCTCCCAACCCCCTAGGTGGACCCTGTGTATCCACCAACCCTGTTAAAGTGCCGGATTTTAGTTTTTCATCCTCTCAATTTCGTAAACAACACCCGTGGTGTGAGAAAGCAATGAGCAGTACTTCCCTGGCAGAGGCTATATGCGCGTGGCTATATGAGAGCATTTCGAGAGGGAGAGCGGACTTTCCCCACTCTCGGCCGTACCAGGGCATTTGGGGGCTGCAACTGATTGACTGGCCTATGATTGAACTTTTTATTCTCAAATTCCTTCAACCAAGCTAATATTAACACTAGCCTGCACACAAAGTATATGGTTTCAGTTCTTTTAGCTCTAGGACCTCTATTTAGTCACTATGTATTACATTTGAGGTACCCAATTCAGACCAAACGATGATGAGAATTGTGCGTATACTTTACTCCTTATTTATCAATTGTCATTATTTGAATGATGAACATGATTTTCAATTACGTCATTTTCATTGTCATCATTTGAAATAACTATGATTGCTTTTTTTTTACCTCTGTTACTACCATTGTTTGTAAATAGATTTCCAGAGGATTAATTTATCGTTGAATTACAAACACAATCTCATGCTAAATCATTGTACGAATACAATGATGTTTGTTCACAGCAGATAAGATCCGTTTATTGTAACTTCCTTGCTTTCCTTATTGATCTGAATCCTTAAATTTTGATTGTTGTGTGGGAAATTGTAAAATAAAATTTTTAAGGATTTATTTCTGAAAGGGCAGATCCCTATTCTTTCATCCTTTGTAAAAGTTGACTCTATTACTTGAGAAAATGCACATATTTGTATGTAGCATGCTTCATGCCTTTCGGTGCTCATAGATGAAATAAAGTACTTCATATTTGAAAAGGAAATAAAAACAATTCAGCAAAGAAAATTTTTCTTCCAATGATATTTACGGAAAATGTACGATTAGTTGTATTTATAGTGATTTAATAAATAAATCTGGGAATGGAACCGAGAACTTTCGGTCTTACAAGCGAGCTCTTAATCTCTAAACCACTGGGATGGTATCGAACTGTATTAGTGTAGGTCCAACTCCAATCAGTTCACGATATTGCACAACGCTCACCCATTGCCCCTAGCGGATAACTGCCTTACACCCGACAGAAATGAAACCCACTGGTTACGGCTTCTCACTAGAACTCCATGAGTCACTGGTGAGCAAATGGTTATCATTAGTCTAAGAAGATTTATGGAGATTTTAGAATTTCCACACTGCTGAGGAGTCCCATACCAGAACGAAACACCTATTCAGTGCTTCCAGGTTTTTAGTGGTGGCCTAAATAAGATCAGTTCCTAATGTAAACTACTAAAAGTATATAGTAGCCTACTGAAAAATAAAAGAGATTACATCGTCAAGTGTTCGGGTAAAAGTGGTTGGATACTGGTCTGAAGGGTAATTTGTGAATCAGGAGTTCAAAACGTAACCTATTTTCTACATGGTGAATGCAAAAACATGAGGCCCAAAATCTGTGTAAACACTTGTTCAATCTTTCTCGTAGTCTGTTTCTATGTCATTTTAATCAGCCGTTACTACCCTCTTTCAAGTTTCCATATTTTTTATTCAGTTGTTGTGATCATCGCATTTTACATTTCTTTATATCTGTCAAATGGGAATTTATCATTATTTAAACCATCTCGCAAACACATTGTGATACTTGAAGTTTCATAACACTGCGATGTAATTTCTTATTTTTTAATCGACTACTATGTATGTTTTCATATCTTACTTCGTAGACGCATCTCAGTCAGACAATCCTTAGAAGCCAAAAAGTACTGAACAGCCGTTTCATTTTAGTACAGGGCTCATTAGTGCACAGCTATGGCCTCACCATAGTCAGACTCAAGACCTTCTATCTTTTTGCGAGCGTTTAAGCTCTAGATCAGTACTTCTTGGTTTAAAGTGGTTGTCTAACTACAATCCAGTTCGTGATGTAAACTATAGAAATGCAAACGATTATTCAGCTTCAGTAAACGATTTGGTTGAAAAGCATATTTTTTACTCTGAATTGTTTTTATTTCTTCAATAACACAATGGATGAATGCTTGTGTGTGTGTGTGTGTGTGTGTAACCATTTTACAATTATGTCTCCCAATCATAATTTTTTTTGCTTGAAATCAATCCATTAGCATCGAATTATTATTATTATTCGTTTGCTTCCTACAACTACCCCTGAATATCAGCATTAATTCCTTACTTATCCTCCTGTAATCATCTTTGTTTTATGCGTTATTATATTTTTAACAGAGTTCACAACTCATTGGGTATTATTATCATTAATCCAAGTTTCTATTATTATCCTGGAGTATTCAAAACTGATTAGTTCTCTATAAATTTTATACTAATAAATTGTTTATTTATGAGGGGGTATTATGTTTAAGTTTCTAACTGCGACATACATTTTTAAACTTGTTAACGAAGAACAATTTTTCGATTTTTTTTTGGTCGGTAGTATTTCACTATGAATTAATGTATGTAGTGAAAAAAATTGCAATCCAATAAGTGTTATACAGTTATTTCGTTATTTTTTAAATTTTCCTCCAGATCCTGAGATTCTAAATTTATCATAACCTTTCTTTTCTTATTCCGCTAATTTATATATTCTGGTATTTACCTGACGAATTCATCTCTGTTCATATACCTGACAAAATGAACCAATTTACATATATACCAGGTTCTAGGTTACGACTGACTGACTCGTTCTAGTAATTGGACTCTTCCGTAATCCATTTTTCATTTCTCAATAACATATTAACTGATATTAGTGTGTAACCAAAACGACTCGTAAATTGTATCAAATTCTCTAAAAACCAGCTAGCTGAACAACTGAGGTCTTTCTTTTGTTATATTACTGAAGAAGCCTTGATTTTGCACATAAGAATGTGGACTAATCACATGAAGTCAGTCACTCAAAATTTTGTTATCAATACGATACAATTGCACAGTGAGAAAAGAAAATATTAGTTTATAATACAAAATAGTTTTTCACATGCATAATGATATATCTGTCTCATTGAGTGAGCAATTATGGGGTGCTTTTCAAGGGACATATAAAAATCCAAATTGAGATTTATCCACTCGGCTTTCAGTCGTATTGTTTGTTCAAAGGATTACTGATCCTGTCCGGTTACCCGTCCCAAAGTGGGTAGATGTGGCTCGAAACTCTTACGCTGTTGGTTGATAATCAACTTGTGTAATCATTGATTCACTCCTTAACTAGTCAAAAATACATTAATGTATGACTACATTTTTAAATTTACTCCTGTAGCAATGGAGATACGTATGCGTCGTATTAAATAAATGTAACTTTCAATAATTTCAATACCTTAAAATCTCTCTCAATTACCTTATTTTTGCTACCCCATTATCAGGTCGATATGAAGATGACTTTGTTGATGAACGTCGTAAATGGTTACAACAATGGTTAACTCGCATGTGTAAACATCCGGTTGTATCGCATAGTTCAGTATTTATTCACTTTCTTACTTGCACTGACTTCAAGGTAAATCATTGTGCGTTATATATATATATATATATATATATATATATATATATATATATATATATATATATATAAACATTAGATATTATTTATTTTTGAAAATTATAGACTAGTTTATTTATAAGTAGTAAAGGTTTGAATCATTCCGTTATTTCATATTCACGACTCAGTCTTTTGATCAGTTTTGTCTGAACTATATGTTTCCTGTGCAGATTGCCTTGATATACCTATTATTCACAATTTTTGTTTAGCATAGGTGAATTGTGACTAAGCAGTGGGATCCATGGTGTGCTTCTCATCTTAGATTTGTCAGCTTGTGTTGATGTACATAATGTATTCGTTTTATTATTATTTAGAAATAAGTGTATGGTATATGTCATAATTTAGTGATATTTATTTTTATATTATCGTTTTATTGAGTTGAATATTCATTGGTTATAGGCACTTGAATTTTCAACCGACTAGGTTCCAAGCTCAAACTCTGCTCTCTATTTACTTCTGTCTAAATGATAGCTTTACATACACACAAATAGTGTCTTTCCGAAAAAAAAATAAGTTGATTCAAAACTGGTCTGCGTTGACAACTGAATTAAGGATAGGAAGTGAGTTAGTTGAGTGTCTCGACCATTTGACTTTCCTCAAAAGCCTCATCCACTATGCTGGATTAGCATCTAACGATGTGTTTAAAACCATTCAGAAAGCTCTTCCGACTTTTTTCAGCGTGCGTTACTGTTGCATATGCCAGATATCCATCTACCAATCAAGAGCGAGCTTAGTGTGCAGTTGTTCACTCTGTTCTACTTTATGAATATGAAACATAGCCATCATGGAAATAGGACATTTGTAGTTTACTAATATTTGATTATGAACGTCTTCTAGGGGTTCCTCGTAGATGTTGGAACCATTGAGTAGTAAGCAATGTCGAGGTTAGGCATATGGTACTAGGTAAATATGAGAGATCGATAAATAAGGTAATAAATATTCATCAACTGAGATGGTAGGAGTACGTGTTACGTTTGCCCAAGCATCATGATCTACCTTGACAGGTGATGTTGTGTAGTGTGGAAGTAGACTGAAAGAAAGCTAGGAGTAGTCAAAGCAAGACGTATAATCAATCTACGAAGTCGTTGACAATTGAACTGAGCCATGCTAATAGATGTAGTCGATGTGGTTGGTATCATTGTGATTATTATAACTACTGGTCAGAGACTTTTGGTAATGTGAATCATTATCGTTCACAATCGTGGGTGTGCATTTGCTCTTTATCTTTCGTGAATCTTGAAATCTTTTAACTTTTCTTGTTTTTGTGTACCTAATTTATTCAGTACCACTTATAGTGTTGCTTCTTGTGCTACTCCGTAATTTGTCTTGGGATGATTTTATCTGCACTAGTCGTATGGTAACTTGAACTGATGCGCCTGAATCAGGCTCTGCATTGCATATGACCAATTACCCCAATCAAGGATGGGGTCCCCTCATAGGAGGGATCACGTCAGTGCTTTAAACTTCATTGTCCTACTCTATAAGTCGTGGAGCAATTTTATTAACCACGAAATTGGATTCGTATCTTCTTCCTTCTTTTTTTAATGTGTTAAGACTAGCACGAAACCTAGTTCCGTAAATTTTATTGATTGTCATTAATCGCCTAGCATTAAACATAATACACACGATGTTGAGTCACTTAGAGTAGTGGCCACATTGCTTCAACTTGATTGGTAAAATCTGATCAGAACATAAGACTAAACAAACTACATTGCTTACCGCTCACTAGTTAATAGTGAATGGATGTAAATGTTAATCATTATCCAGTAAAATGAAACTGCATAGGTTACGTGGTACACCTTACCTACTAAAGCATTTGAAAATTGCCCCGAAATCTTAAACTTTACTACGATAAAAAAATTCACCTAGTAGTGTAATACACATATGTAGCCAACATGATCAGTCGCTCACGATCAGCTTAGGGTATGGTACAAATATGCATTAGTCCAAGTTGCTACATCACATTAACACAACAGGTTGAAATTAACAAGGAGGAATTAAAATAATTCATCAATGATTATAAAAAAGACTGAAGGTCGAATGTTTTTATAAAGGAATACTGGAACTAAAGATCTAGAATAAGACAGAAAGTGTATGCACCTGGTCTATTATGAGCGGTTCTGAGCCATGTTACATAACCTCTCTGGATATAAGTTGCGGTTATCGTGCATATCCCCCACCAGGTGGTCTAGATTTGCTAACATGGCATAGATCAACGGTGGATGACTTCACAAAATAATGTCACTTTCTGGTTTCTCCCAATCTACCTGTATACCAGTCAACATCGTCCGTCGAGATAAGTAGCGCTTAGGTTTACATAACTTATTTCCTAACCATTTTAGTCTAATTCATTAATAAAATTTGTGTATTGACGGGATGCATATTAGTAAATTATAATATGTAGTTTTCGTTTATCGTTTTGTTGTATAACCTCACCTCATTTATTGTGTTTCCTTTAAAAATCTAGAAGTGGAAACTAGGCAAACGTGAAGCAGAAACTGATAAATTACAAGGTGTACGTTTTTATTTTGCAGTGGAATCAAGATGTGGACAAACACCTCATGACTATACGTGAGTTTTCATTCTGTTCGGAAGATCCCATTTTACCCAGTTTTGGTAATCTCAGTGTCAATTCTTACATGTAACGATAACCGCTATTGCTTTTTACGGATTGAGATTTCCTCACGACCCTCTTCCTGTTCTGATTAGCTGTCGTTACTTTTAGTTCGCTAATGTTTCGTGCCTAAAGGTCGTGTTTTTGCTACTGCATATACAGGGCTGTTCGGTTTCAGTTTCTCTTTGTTAAATATCAAGTTTCGTTTGTAACCCTCCCTTCCTCGGTCCAGCGTTAAGAATTATTAATTCAGTATATGTAGTATATAAGTCGCCTTAAAGTCATGTTCGCAATAGATTCCTTTCGTGTTGAAGTAATCTCAGTCGTTTCTGTAAATTCATGATCACTGTAAGCCCATTTATAATTGTTTGTTGAGTATTCACATACTTTCCTTTTGTGAAATTTGTTAATTGCGTCTAGTAATAATGAGTCCAATGCAAAGTGACGATATTTAGAAATGAATTTACCAATCCCAGTATGATAATGATGACTTTTCATATTACTGAATGGTAGTATATGTATTATACGGTTTAGCTCAGTTCCTTCTTGTGTTTATAAAGCAATTTTGTTGTCTCAGTTTCCAGTTTGAATAATCTATTGTATGAGGGAGTGACTTGGATGCTTAGAAGCTAGTTAACCTAGTATATTCCTTTTTTGTTATAACCAAACATTTTTACGGGGTGCTTGCAACATTAAAGTTAATTCCTTTTTCTCTTAACATTATCTCCTAGTTTTATTCTCTAAAACCTATTCTGGTTCTAATGCAGTAACTGTATTCGTCCGAAACTTGCTACCTAACTGTATGTATTTGTTACTGTTATCAACTTTTGAAATTCTTACCGAAATAAATTTCTGAGTAACAAAGGTTTCAGCATTTAAAGTCAAATTTCTTTTTCTAAGATACACGTAAGATCCAAGTGTGCTAATACTTCCAAAGATGGTACAAGTTCTATACATTGTAGCGTTTTAATGTTTGTGTATCCAGTAGCCAGTTCTCAATGATAGGCAATGTGGGGATAACAACAAGTTCACATTTGTAAAGCTCAATAATTAACTGAATCCCACTTTTCATCCCATCTTCAGATAAACTTACGTGAACTACACCCTAGTTATATTCCAAGCTGTGAAATCAACATCCAATTAACTTGAGTAAATCTTTTGTGGTTAAATTTCTCTCTTAATCGTTGAGTCATTCATACTTCCCATGAAAACACATGCATGGTTAGGAATTACTGCCATATAATCGAATTCTCTAAACTGAATGGTTTAATTACGAAAATTTCGTTGTCGTTTCAGATTGACAAGCTTTCTAACTGAACGCTTGAATCAGTTTCCTGAGCTTTTCTAATCACTCCAGGCTTAATCTACACGACAACCTGAACGCGTGAGGAAAGTCGCTAAATGTGAAAAGAACGCTTTACTCTAAGATTAGTTTATATACAGAAAATCGGGGGTTTATAGTATTTCAGGTAGCCTTGGGCTTCTGAAAGTGTCTACAACCATACTAAACAGTAACAGGATAGGTATTCATCCATTCAGAAATGTGACACATGACCCTTCACCCTGTAGATGTCTCTCAGAAACTTCTGTTCAACGCTGATTCTATGAAATGTTTTCCGGCGTTTTCAGGGTCCTCTTTTGGACTTTTCGAGGAATGCTTTGAATCCCCCCACACTTTTAGAAAAGTAGAACTTCCTCCTTGAGTCTACTTGCTGCATCCTATCTCCCACGAAACTGCTTTCATTATGGTCCGATAACAGCAAGGTGATTCTCTCAGACAACCAGCATTTACTGGCATGCCGTCTCGCCAAAATAAAAGGAGAGAGGTAAAATAAGTCGGTTCTACAAATACCACATTTCACTTTGCCCTATAGGTTTCCATCACCAGCAGTAGGACCCAACTTTCAAATCACCGTATATGACCGTGTTAGCGGGGCATAGACTAGATTAAAGCATGCTCAATGCATGATTGTTTTGGTGCACGCTGATTGGCTGATTCTTATCCAATCAGCACTAGTCGATAGTCGGAGAATATTCTGGAATCTCCTTATGTAAAAACTATAAATATACCGACGTTTTCCCCTATTGTGCTTCCTACTGGCTTCTGACTTGCTATTTGGAATATAATCTTTTTCCTGTTCAACCGTGTTCTGATTTGGGGACTTGTAGAGTGAATCGGTGTCCGAGAATACTAAGCAATAGGAATAGCTGGGTCATTAACCGTAAGAAAACAGTTATAACAGTGGCGACGGGGAAAAACTAAAGAAAAATGGCGATTTCTTTAGAACAGTTGCGGTTAATATTACAGCACCAGCAGAGGTTGTTAGCCTTGCAACAACAACTATTGAGCACACTTTTCACTCGACCAGAAAATAAGAAATCTGTTTATGATGCAGTAACAGACATTTCAGAAGCATATCTAGTGGAGGGTTCAAATCCCTTTATACCTGAATCAGAACGTAATATTTGTAACGTTTCCGGCTCACAGCAAGAAAATCCTGTGCTGAATGCTCATAAAGTTGTGGCAATACGAGATTATCAAGAGCCAGACCCTGTAGATGAAGCCCGGAGTCCAGAATTGAATGAAGCACTACTGGTCCTGTCTAGCTCTGAAAATAACTTTCAGCTAGAACAAATTTATGGTCCACGTGATATTAGCCAAGAAAGCTATGGGGACTCGTATTCAGAAAATAACTGCAGTGACACAACGAACCCGATTATACCGAATGTTACTCAAAATCATTGTGAGACAGAAACTTATATTGAATCAGCTTATCCGATTTCTAATGACAATGTATCAGACATGGGTTCTCAGAACAATGCATGTTATTTTGATGAAATTTCTCATAAAAATCAGGGAAATATATCAGCTGAGTCAAATTATGGTCAAAAGTCTAATTTAATTTTGTTAGATGATGATTTCCGTAATGATCCATTATCCACTGATGAAATTCCTAATGGATTTGAAAGTAATGCTTCAGAAGAATTAAACTTTGACCTCAAATCAAAGGTCGTTCATTATCATCTAGTCGTTTCTAGTGGATCCGACATTCAATGCGAGAAACGTCGTTTAAATAAAGTCCTATTATTTGTAACTTGGAGATATAAGGATCCGACATTGTTTCGCGGAGGAGGAGAATGTTGGAGAATTAAAAGTTATGCATACTTTTTTTAAAAAAAAAATCAAAACGCCGGGAACAGACACGTCAGTCTCTGTGCAAGAAAAAAGTGATAATTCTTTATTGCTTAGACGATGGACTAATCGAGAGCACAAGCCAGTCACTCAGTTGCAGTTGAACCCTAGCACCAGATCCTACGAATCTGCTCAGAGGGGAGGTGTTAGCGGGACATAGACTAGATTAAAGCATGCTCAATGCATGATTGTTTTGGTGCACGCTGATTGGCTGATTCTTATCCAATCAGCACTAGTCGATAGTCGGAGAATATTCTGGAATCTCCTTATGTAAAAACTATAAATATACCGACGTTTTCCCCTATTGTGCTTCCTACTGGCTTCTGACTTGCTATTTGGAATATAATCTTTTTCCTGTTCAACCGTGTTCTGATTTGGGGACTTGTAGAGTGAATCGGTGTCCGAGAATACTAAGCAATAGGAATAGCTGGGTCATTAACCGTAAGAAAACAGAGTTATAACAGACCGATGTTGTAATGCGCCTAGGTCGTCAAGACTTAGGTTTTTTGATGTGGTTTAAAAACAATTATCTTCTCATCATTAGGACAGGCTCGAATTGACAATCACCCCTATACTTTTAACATCTTTGGAGACCAAATTGTTCAATTTACCATCTTTTTCTCATTACAATATTCTCCTTTCTCTTATTCATCAATCTTGTTTTTTGCTGTATTATGAAAATTCAGGGTTGAAAAAGCAGAAACAGCTGAGCGATTCTTAGCTGATTTGGATAGATCAACTAAATTTCTATGTGAAACAGTTGTTGAATATCATCGAAAATTAAGTATTAGTAAGCTGTTGTTTTCGTTGTATTGATGTGTTCTAAGAATTTATATTCATTATATTTTTTTATTTTATCAAGAGCGCTGTTTATTAAACTAGTGTTTTCTCCAATTTTGAATACATTTTAAGAGTTTACTAATGAGTTTTTACTACAAACTAACATCGGTATGTAAGAAAAGTTAGATTCCACTAAATTTAGGACTTTTCAACAATGTCCACACGTCGACGGTCACTTTTAAGTCAACTGATAAAAGTACTTATCGTAAAACATATCTGTTATCTGTTATTGTCTCCTTTATTGGTTACTTAGTTGCTCCCCTCTTCTGCCTGGCGCTATATTTTACATTGTAAGACTTTTTCTCATATTCCGTTTAAAATAACTCCAACCGATTTCGTTAATGTCATATCTTCTACTCTTGTACACCTTCAACACAACGCTTCATTCGACTCTTCCCAAATCGGAACAAAACTTGAAATGGAACAGTGTAAATTCTAGTAATCCTGAACAACAGAGTTTGTAAAGGTTATGCATGAGAATCTAACATCTTGATTCGTCCATCGGCGTTGATCGATTTCAAAATCTGTCAATCAACTTATGTCACTTTGAACCTGACAAGAATGTGACAATTTCAGCACTCTATCCAGCTAACAGTCAGGAGGTGACGAACTTCATAATATAGTTACTATCTTACCATATTTCATATTCATTATCCAAACTGTTTATTCCAAAAAAATATTATAAATTCGTGCTTTAATTACATTTTATCACATAATACTTTTTTTACATAAATAATATTGATTCTTTTCATGATGAATTCAAAAACCTCTCATATTGCCCACTTGACCACATCATTTGATTATTGAAGTTCACTGATGACCCATTCATTGAATGCCTATCTGACCAATGACTTCTTTGACCAATAATACAAATGACCGTGAATAGTGATGGAAAAACCATAACTGATTAGTTCACTTGCTTTTACACCAGTTACACGATCACAATGGACTAAAAATTAGAAATCAAAATATTATGTATAACTAAGTCATATGTGCTACAAAACTGTGTTATGGGTTCATAATTAATTAACAATAATTTGGAAATCGTGTAATAACAGTTATTATGAATGGATTGTTTAAAGTGCACAATAAAAATACGTATAACATTTTACTGTTAGACAGTTCCAAAGGTTTCATTTCCCTCATTTCTACTCTCTCCAGTCTCTAACTAATCATTCATTTTTGATTGTATCCACTAAAATATACGATAATGACATTTTTTGTTTTATCTATGGGTTGTTTCGTTTCTTGTGTTACATTCTCTGAACAAACATTATTTTACTTTTTGTGTATACAGATTATTTGTGTCATCCTTCATATTTATTCATTAGATCTTTTATTCCCGTCTTCCTTCTCTCTCTCTGTGTGTGTGTATAGGTATTCGTAAAGAATTTTCCAAACTGTCAATGGCTTTTCTTAACATGAGCAAAGCTATTGAATCGGATGTTCATACAAGTACGATTGTTAGTAATGAGCATGAAAATTTAATTACACATTTTGCTTATTTTTTTATTTTATTTATTGTTATTGTTATCGTTATAGCATAATGATCAATTAGAGAAGAGACTGTGCAATATTGTTTCTTCGATTACACTTGTCATCAGAGCTGCTCAGTCATACTGTGCTTATTAATATAAGCAAAAAAGGATGGGAATATCCATAATTCACAAATTCTTGACAATGACCCTTGTATTATTTATTCAAAATGTTTCACTGTAGGTCATTTGTATACAGTCGTTGATAACAACTTGAGTGATATCAGCAATAAAGACACCCACTGTAAATTCTGAGAATTCCAGTTCAATATTTGACAAATACAATTCACACCTCCATTAACTGAATGATGAACTGAAATGTCAGTGCCTACAAAACGTTTATTTTATTAGTCAGTAACAAGAAATGTATTGTGTTAGCGGAATTTTATGTTCTCTCTTAATCCTACCGAAATTTAACATAAGTATTCTTTTCAAAGATACAAACTCTTGATTCACCATTTTTACTAATAACACATCTGTTTAATAATTTTAAATGGAGCCTCCTGAAGTTTTAAAATATGTCGCATGACGTTTTCACAATTTCTTAATTAACTCACTAATGTTTACACTGTAATTTCAGTATTAAATTATTGCCATCATCGTAATATATTAGTTAGTACTTCAATGGTTAAACATTTACTAACTTATCCTTTTAGTCACTTTTCCGCACTCGACTAAAACCTTGAGTTTTATATGTCTTTTGTATATAAACTTTATTTGAATTTGAAAATTAGACAAGATAAATGGATTAACTACTCGAAGAGTTGCATCATTTATGAGTAGAATGACACTGGGTCTTTATTTAAAAGCCCAATTTTATATTCGTCAAGTGTTGTAGATTGTTTCCAACTAATTGGTCGTATATTTCTGTATGTGTAGCAAGTGATCCATATTATTGATTGGTTGAACCACGCTTAAATAATGCTATAAACTATTAATTGACTGACATAAAATCTAAGCTGTTTGATTTATCATGCTTTTGTTTTGATGATTCAATTAAAATATTTTTTACTATTTGGCAGACAATGAAATTCAAGACTCACGTAACTGTCCTATTTGTAATTTGTTACGACTGGATGTATCTGTGTCCCTGAGATTTGAACTTAATACTGTTTTGCTTCAAACGAAATCAGTATTCATTAAATTTATGTAACCACTAAATTGTACAAGCTCTTGCTAATCAATTGAAATAGTTTTATTAACATATTCACATGCAGAGAAAACACTTTATTTCCATTTCAGAACAATTAAATACAAAATTATGCGCCTCACTAGCTGCTACCGGCAATACATTCAGAAACGTATCATGTATCCATGCAATCCAGGTAAATAAGCTACTATTTTTTCATTCCTATTGAAAACGTTTTGCCGACATTAGTCTGATCTGTAGATTGTAGTCGTTTCAATCTGACCTCAGGTTACAATTGAAAATTTGGAAGTACTAAACAGCCGTTTCGTCCTAGTACATGGGAATCTTTAACAATATCTATGCATAATCTAATCAGGGATCAAACCAAGGACCTTCAGGTGTTTTGTTAAACACTGAATCATTAGAACCACCAGTTCAGCGTTTGATCGTACAATTCCGACTTTAATCAATTTGTGATACAAATCCATGATCATCTAATCATATTATTATATATTTGAATATCAATAAAGCGTTCGTTTGCAAAGTTCGTAGTCTACTTCTGTTCTGGATAACCGGATAACATCTTACTAGCTCACACAGACAGTACATAAAAGACCTGTAGTTGCGAAAAGGGAAAACAAAATGTACGCTATGATTCAAGTTATAAAGATGACAAGTTTTTTCGACATCACTCATTCAAAATTGTCTTTATGAGTGAAGTTGATAGGAATTACACAAATAAATCCTTAAGTAAAAAGCATATATACTGTACACATTGATGTTATTAGTATAGAATAAAAATGAAAGCTACGTTCTATTGTTACTTATTGACGCCGTACAAAATAGTCACTCTCAAAATCAGTTTCATAAGATAAATATGGTATAGAACCCAGTTAAAGGATTGTATAGATTGAGCAATGAACAGTAACCAATCGCACCATGTTAAAAATACTCAGATTATATGTAAAAAAACAAGTAAAATGAGCCAGGTGATTGATAAGGCTATAAGTTGTAACGTACTGAGAAAAATGTGTCAGTATAGGCGAATTAATCAAATCACAAAGTGTGTTCAGAGTTTGAACTTACAATTCACACAATAGTCGTAGTGATGAGAGACGTTGGGTAACATAGAGTGAAATCTATTGCGATGACACACTGATTCATTTTCTATCTTTCATTTTTGAATTCAGTGTCATTCTAAACTTTCCATCCTAAGATATCATTTATTCATTTCTAATTGGATTTCTCATGTCTAGATTTTCATTTGATTTTAAATCAATTACTCCCCTTTGATTCTCATCTTGTTAATTTTCTGTCTCTGTGTACCTACTAGTGTTGCGATTCGAACCGACAACCACTCATGTCAAACCGAGGGTTGATAACTGACTGGATAGTTTTATACAGTACACACTTGCTCTACCAAAAGGTACATAGTTTATTGCATGTTGTACTTTGTTGGATGGTTGGAGGTAGTTGACAATAAATACCTTAATACTACAGGAGGTGCAACTGCATGACGTAAGTTCGAACTCCATTGGAAACATCAGATCTCTCAAGATTATACATACGCTATAACTGACGAGTGCCATCTAGTACGACACTCGGATTAAACAGGGTTTTCTTGTCGACCATCTTTAACTACTTAACACTAAAACATAGTGTACGTAATTTTGAGTCAATTAGACTAATAACATTGTATCTGTATTGATAGAGTTCAATAAGTACTAGGGATTAGATAAACGTGATATAAGTCACTTACTGCTCAGTGGATATTGGTCAGTTAATTGTAAATATTCAAATTTTTTGGTTTATTTCCAGTCAGAAGCAACAATCAATCTTCAAGAATGCTTAAAGGAATTCACTCGTCTACTGCCAAATACATCGACTATTATCAGTTTAGCTAAAGCTGCATGTCTTACTGTTGATGAATTAAATCGTTGTAATACCGATGAACAAAAAGTGTGTCAATCCGATGTGAATCGAATTCAATCTGGTGCATTGTTGATTACACGTTCTGTTCAATCTGAATGTAATTTAATTATGAGTCAAATTCGTGATGAATGGATGAATAAAATCAAAGACTATCTTTATGATCAAGCACGTTTTTATCATCAAATTGCGGAACAAATAGAACGGGCTGCTCAATCTTTTGAAATCGACTGATCTCTGTCTGTCTATCATATAATATATATGTATCCGCGTATTAACACTCATAATACTAATATTAATATTGTTACTGCTATAAACATTTACAGATTCATCAACCATATATATATATATATATATATATATATATATATATATATATATATATATATATATATATATACTATTTACACTTCTCAATTGTCACTTACCTTCGCACACTACTCTAAATCATATATTGTTTTCGTATTTCAGTAATTACCCATCACAGAGCATTATTAACTCATCCCTTCTTGTTTGTACAATTTTTCGAAGTCTTTCCTTCCTTCCTTCTTTTCTTTCCCATCATTTCTTACTACCCATGCTACTTACTAGTCGTGTGTGATAATTTAGTATTAAGTTTCTTTCTTACTTTTGAGTTGTTTTCCTGGTTAATTTTTTTTTCTATTTGGTGATTTTTTTGGAAATAATTTTTAACGGACAATTATAGTGATTGATTTATTATTATTTTTTCTAAAGTGAATTGTAATATTTCATTATACCATGCTACTTGTGATTCCAATGTCTTCCATTTCAAATTGATATTACAACATAGATACTAATGTTCTCTCTCATTTTGATTCTCTTTTAGCTTTTTTTAATTAGTATCATTTGACAAATATGTATTATACTTTATAATATTAATTGAACTTTGAACTATTTATCTTTCTATGTATGACCCATGCACAGAGAAAGAAATATCTGACGATTGTTTTTAGTTTAGTTTTTTCTTTTAATGTGTGACTGATCTATTGCTCAAAATTTATATTTTTAAAAGCTAAAAGAATTCTACAACGATATGACTTGTATATCCTTCCTTCTTTCCATGTGTTTACTATTCAAGTTACTAGTTTCATTTTATAACATTGAAATTTATCGTATGGTTCTATTCCCTTAGCGTAGAGAATGGTGTAATTTCGTGCCTTAATAGGCTATATTTACCGAGTCCTATAATATTGCGTATTATTGAATAGTCTGAGCTAGATGATTTCATCGCGAGGCTTTCGTGCGCGTTCTGGACATCATCAACGCATCATGTAGAAGTGAATTTTCTAGTTATTTTACAAGCGTAAAATTAGTTTGTTCGTGTGCTCCTGTTTATGGCGGCTTGTCTTCGTGGGGTTTTTGTTTTGATTTCTCCTTATACTCAAGTTAACATGAATGATCCTAATGCCATGCTTCTAGAAGTTTTCTGAGATTCCCGAAATTCCCTCGTTTCATAATTATGTTTTCTCAGTTGAATGCATGTCCGTGATTGTCTGTATGCATTGTTATCAGTTATAATATATCATGTTTTACTGAACGTGTCCATGTTTGTGCATGTAAAGCGGGCGTCTGACTTGTCGTTCGAATGCCGTATGCTGGTTAACTCCATTAATTTTATGCTCGTGTCTATAGTATTCTTTAGAAGACAAGCGGCGGTAACAAGAAATTGTTTGCAAATTCTGCCTAGTTTTACAAACATTTCTCACTGGTACATGTAGACAGTCTTCTATTTGGATTAGTTTAGTCCTTTTGTTTGATTCCCACTAGTAGTCAAGATGTGTTTAGAGCTTCAAGTTGTATTTTTTTAGTGACGTTCCTATTCAGTGTACTTTCCCATTTAATATAACTTTAGAACAGCTATTATTTCTTTCAAGAAATGGTATTGTTGAGATATCACAAGATTATCTAATCTGCTGAGATAGTATTCATTCAGATAATACTTTACAGTGCGTCATGATTATTACTTCAACCTCCTTGTTTAGTTTACCATTTTTCATCATTTTATCCAATAAAATTATCAATACACTATTACACACACATCGATTAATAATTCTTAAGGACAGATTTGTGTCAGTCACGCTATCTCAACAACAATCTGTTGGTTAATGTATTCCAATGTCTCAGGCTAAATGTTTCCGAAAAGAGGGATGTCTTGAGTAGATGACACGATACCACCGTGTCTTAAACATCACAAACGAATAAGCAGTAGTTGATGGGTCATTGTAGATAGAAGGTATCGTTGGCTATCCCAACATCAAATATTGAATTCACAAGTCTTGTGGTAAAGCAAATAAATTGATTGATATAATACTTGCTTCAGTTATTACTATTGTGGAAGTCCTCTATGTCAAATATTAAGCATTTTCTCACATTAAAGAACTGAAGTACAGTATAAAGGGCCATTCTCTTTGGTGCCTTTTTAGTTATCAGTAGTTTCGGGTGAACTTGTAAAACACACCAAGGGGAACTGAATGCTGGTGAATGGATTTCATGTTCTGAATGATGTGATCAATTAATTATAAGGTTACTTGAAATACAATCAATATTTCAATTAGCACGATTTTGTATAAACAATATCGTGCTATTTATATAGTATACATTCTGGAAAGTTCTATCCTATTACAACATAAACACGTATAAATACATACCAGACCAGTTTTGTTTTAATTTATGTTGTGCATAATAGGCAACACAAAATATAACCTGTTGTGCATGCAATGAGAAAACCCACATTAAATCACCTAATTTACTATTCAGAATAAAAACGTTATTTTGATTTCAGAATAAATTTGACATGGCGATTTTCAGTTTATTACTATAAGAATTTACAGCTGACACAAAACATCTTTGTATAACTTTTGCGAAGTAATACATCGCTTATATAGTGGCAAAGCTTCTGAGTTGATGAGTACATCTTTACTCATTTTTAATGATCTTGATCTATAGGGTACAAGTCAAAGGCAACATGTCGGCTGATATAGTTGTGAATCTTCAACGACTTGTGTAGTTGAGATGTGTTACGCATGCTCGACTGCTTCATACCTTAATGGGCCGGTGTAGGAGGAGGCTGAAAAAGACTAGGGGTGGCGGCATCAGTCCATGATGTCACTAATAGTTGGCAGGTTCAGATTACCACCTAGTTGGGGTTCGCGTGACCAAAGGTTGGATTAATAATCCTATATTTTAATGCAGCTAAGAGAATTCTTCAAGAGCGAAATACAACAACTTGTGTCTTATCAACGATCAAACGAACTGAGACTCATTTCAACCACAAGAGTATCAGTCTTCAAAGATATTCAACAAATATGGGATAGAAAATAAGTGGGACAACTTATGTAATTGAAGTACCTTTTTTAGGCCTTACGTACATTACAACTAAACACGTAGTATTGATCCACAAAAAAATGAAGGACATCAAAGTGATATAAAAGTTGGTTTTAGTTTACAAAATACATTACGTAGAACTAAATCGGCAGACCTTGTTTAGGTTGCTCTTAGGATATCAGACTGTCTCGATATTCGAGGGAAGCAAGAGGAAATACTTCTAACATGCTTTAGTCCTAGGATTATTTAAAAAACCTTAATAAACACAGGGAAACACCAACTACATATTCAGATAGCTTTTGCGAAGGAAACATCACTGTTTTCGATAACTTAATGCTAAACTGGTATGGTGGCTCAGCAGTAAAGCCATTTGACTTTCAGTCACTTATTCAATTTGTTCCCCAGCTAATTCGGTTTAATCAACCAGATAGTAGTGTCGTTCAAAGTCATACGTAAATCTGTACTTTGTGAACTGAGATTGAATTCAGTTGACCAGTGTTTATAATATAAGATAAAACTCCGATAAATATGTTCTAGTGCCGTGAAACCTGACAAAAGCCGATACATGAGTGTCAGCTAGTTATTATATTATATGGTAGGTTATTAAAAACCAGTAATAACGTCGATTGGTATGAACTTAGCTCACTTTTATGCTATTGGCAATAAACGTTTTGACTAGGTTCTCATCGTTTATACATTATGCATTTCACTGTTCATTCATTTAAGTATTACGTTTTCTCAGGTACCCATAGTAGACGGATATATTTTATCAGTTATCATAAGCTGGAAGAAACTTAACTATGAACATTCACTAACAAAAAAATAGTCTGGTTTCCATAAAAAAACCACTTGTTGTAATTTGAAATTGGTTATTATGATAGCGGATTGCGAACGATCCTATGAATATTGAACGTGATCTATGAGTGTTGGGGACGTTAGATCCCCAGAACTCACTTGAAAAAGGTCCTAACTTTGCAATTTTATTTTGAAATTATTTGTTCTCGCACCAAAAGCGCTCTCTTCACCTTCATGTCATATTTCCCACTTGGGAGAATCTTAAACGCTATTGGTCCGTTGTGTCTTTCAGTATGCTATTTTCTAACGCTTCCCAAGGACCGTTTTGTTCTGTACATATACGTTTTGATTCGTGTCTGTTGTTACCGCTCGCGCTTCTGGCTTTTTGCGGAATATACTTCCCCGTTCGAACTTCGACTTCTCTCTCTGGTTAGCGGGGCTGGGACACAACAGAATAGCTAGTTTATTGGTCTTTGGTCACAAGTCTTTGTTCCGTTCGCAGACTAACTGAAATAGTAATCGCTTCAACATAGCAGAGATGGTTGACACACCGGACGACTGAGATACGCAACACATTGCAATAATAATTTCCTGTACGATTGAAAGAGATGTCTGTTATAACGGGGAGTGTCCGAGATCTGGTGATACACATGTTATTCGTTAAACCCCCCAAATGACATGAATAAATATTCATTTGTATATATAAATGTCTACCCTGGTAAAATCAATCCATTTCTCAGCCAACGCCATGCACTTGTTTTTCAGGACATTTCGAGTCGGGATCAAGTGACCTCATCTGGGTACTTTTGAGTGGTTCGCCACATCAACGTTGTAAAAAAATTAAATTACATTCAAGTAGGATCCGGTTTTACATAGATTAGATGCAACGATTAACACTTACAACATTTATCAAAGTGCGTAATTGCCTCTTGAGCACAAAATCACAGTGTGGACTAATTACTACAATGAAGATGGATTCAAAAACAAACTTCTTACTGTTTGAAATGGTTTGTATTATCACGTTATCGATACTTTGACTGAAATTTGATCACTCTTGGTTGGCATGTTGGGCAACCTGTGCGGGCTGTCTCGATTTAGCTATTATTACAAAAGTTGATATAGAATTGATGGAATGTGGTTAGCAGTGTAATCCAGAACGGGTGTTACATCCCAGACTGATCAAATTTCAGCCAAAAATATCAGTATTGGGATAACACAAGCTATATTAAATCTCATGCCCATTGCACGATTGGAAGGCTATTTAAACTGAGGTTAAGCGGATAACGCGATGGCATTTGAAGCGAACGGTAGTGGGTTGGAGTATCTGAGTGAACATTAATCCTTGGATGCAGACACATCCAGCCGACAAGACCCAAATAGGACTAAATCGGCATCGTGGATCCCATTGCTAGCCAACTTCCATCTATTCTATGTTAAATTCTGTTGTAACGGGTGACTGCAGGTTTTGATAAGAAGCGTTTTTATCGATCGATTACAGTGACACGGAAAACACGTAGTGAACGACCTAGTGCCCTGATTGATCCCGCTTCCCTGTCTAGCCCAGCCAGTTGAGTCTAGAACGCAAGTCACAGCCGCTGAGTTATGAATCATTATATTTCAGACATACTCTATTTATATACTAACCAAACAGACCACATCGTACCATAAAAATAGAAAACAACATCTGTACAATATTTAACGAGTGAAATAAATAACGGCCAATAAGGAATGTCCATTTAAGGTCCAAGGACATCATTAGACTTAACATGATAATGATTGGTATATTATTCTGCATCCATAACAAATTCATACTGAAAAAGCCTAAACAAATGAAAACACTGAAAGTCAATGAACGAGCCTCACCCTGAATCAGTATGAGAACTTCGAGATTCTTCCCGAAATGTAGTATTCGGAGAAGTAGCATACCTTATACTACTTTCGAAGAATCGTTGATTTCAACAACCACATGAAATGTAAACAAAGTACATATTTCTGAAGGTTTGCATCACGAACTGATCTAGGTTAGATAATCAGTGAAAACCAAGAAGTGATGCACAGCTGCTTCGTTCTAATATGGAACTCCTCTGTAGTGCCCATTTACGACTCCACCAGATATCGAATTTAAAGCACTCAGGTCCCGCAGAGAGTGCACATTCTTCAGATCACTGAAATGATATACAATGGTTTATGTACCTTATTTTAATCAATCAGAAATATTACGCAACTATCTCTTAGTGTCGTTGCTAAGTGACAGTGCCTTACAGTAGACATAACTGGATTACATTAGTCCCGGTTTCCTATTAAAAATCTTGAAGTTATCTCTTGAAATTAGTTACTAATACGTAAATGATTATTTGTGTGAGAAATTTGTAGAGATTGTCGAATGTTATAATGCACATCAAGATTGTTAGATATTCAACTGTAAGTCAAGCTTGTCAATGTAAGTCCACTGTATTCCCTTAGATCAATCAGGCTTGAAAAAATCGAATTAAATGAAAAGCAGACTTTAAACCTATGACTTAATCATTAAAATTCATGTGATTTAAACATAACTAAGGTTGGTAAGCTATGAAATATATAATTGGAGTGAAGCAATCATTACAACTACATACCAAAACCATATTAATAGATAATACGATCTACCTGGAGCAATGAAAAGAAAAATACATTATCATATTTTCAAATTTTATATATATTTATGGAAAACAACTGAAGTACACACAAAAAATGTTTAAAATATGAAGCGATGAGAAGCATAAAAATGAGATACTCTAAGTAGTAGTAAATGCACAAGTACATATAGCCACATATAAATGCATTGTATTGACGAAATAATGAAAATAATATAATAGTTAAAAAGTATACAAAAAGAGAAATATAAAGTGACTACAGATTTACTAAATGTTAACACCATCTTTAGCAACTTTCAATTTAATCATATCGATAACATCTTTCACTGATCGTCCTGGATCTTTTAATCGAAGATGAACAATGGACCAGTTTAATTTTTCTATCCAACATGGTGCTAATTCTAATAACACGTCTAAGTGTTCACTGATAGCATCTACGCGTAGGAAGGAAAAATCATAGAAGATAGAATCAAGAGAGTGATTAATGAGGAAACAATGCACGATCATCTTTTAACTCATAAGCACCTGAGTCTTTAAGATCAAAATATGTTAAGTTAAGAATTCAGTTAACTTATGAGTATACGTAAAAACCTGAAACATGATAACATTTACGTTATTTCTGTAAGATAGATGGACTGTGAATAGCACTTGAATCCACAGGTTGAGCGTTTCATCATAGCTGCATGTATTTGCATTCCAGTGTTGATATTCACAGTGAAACTTGAACTGTAGTAACTTTCGTTTCAAACACTCAGTGTTCAATCTATCTACTGGAGCTACACTCCAGATGGCTATTAACTATTCAACGAACATGATATTTACATTATTATTAACATTTGTTTACTTATTTAAACACATAAACATTGGTACAAGGAGGCACTAAACAAATCATTTGATTTGTGTGAGGCCTGGGATACTGCCTGGAAACCCAAACTGAACAGGTGGTTTTCTTGCGACGTCATTCCTTGAGCCATTAACCCGGAGGTATAATTCACAAGGTAATGGAGCAACGTCAGGAGATGCAGCTTCAGAGTAGCCGGTGATCAATAATAGGTTCATACGCTATTTGTTCCGTCAAGATCCTAGGACCCATGTGCACGATTGGTTTAGAATCAGAGTGAATCCTCGATACTGACCAACCAGGTTAAAGTGCCGGATATTCGCTTTCTTCCTCTCAATTTCGTAAAAAACACTGCCTCGAGAAGACAGTGAGTAGGATTTCCTTGGCAGTGTCTGTATATGTGTGGCTATGTGAGAGCATTTCGAGAGAGGGTATTGACTCCCTACTGTCGGCCGTAACAGGGTTTATTATTTGTTGGCATATATGTGGATCCTATGCGAATCGCATTGATATTGCCATCCTGTTAAAAGTTTTATCGAATGGCTATCGGTGAGATCCAGGACGAGCATTTGCTCTTATATGGGACTCGTCAGTTAGAGGTACCTAGGCTGCAGTGTTGATTATTATGTTTCTTTCTCTTACAAGCACTAAACGCATAGTGTGTTCAAGCAAGTGTATTTATAAACCTTATCCACTTAACAGTTACTAATGTTATACAATTAGACTAATTTTAAATAAGTTTTTGTCGAGATTCGATTGAATAGTTTCACAAACATTAAGGTGACTAATAGTAAATAGGAAAAAATTGAATTTTATTTTTAAAAATCTAAGTGGTGGAAGTGAAATACAGTGTGAACATTATGTTCGACTGTTTAATTAGAGTTTCTAATGAAATAGAAAAAAGTTATCGGAGAATCCTGTGCTTATTTCCATAAAGAACCTGAAACCAAACTCCTGGACAAAATGTCAGAACTATTTGACTGTATAATCACTAATTCTTTAACAAAATTATATTGTTGAAATATAACTATTCCCAGTGACTATAATAGTACAATAAAACTAGAAAAGTAACATATCATTATCAGTAAGGGTCTGAAGTATCCTGTTTAAATTCAGGACCAAGTTTCGACTGGTCTTTCTTGACATATGTATCCAAGTTTCCTCGATATATCCATCTTCGGATAGGTTTCTAGAATAGATGGATTGTAGCTAACAGTGGTATCTAAGACGTGCATTCCGTCCCATATGGAATTCTTCATAGCTGGATATGCTTGCAGTCCAGTGTCGATATTCAAACTGGGACCCGAAGCCCGTATGGGAAAGTAATAGATTTCAGGATAACTGGACCAACAGATAATTAACTTCTCACCAACATCTAGCGATAAAAATTGGAAAGAGATATCCTTACCAGTTCTTCATTCTTATAGTTTGATACAAAAGCTGAAGGATCAAGTGCTTGCCATAATTTTTTTTAACAAAATGAGAATGGAAATTCGAAACATGACAGCATCTAATGGTGTAAATGTTTGCTTCAATTTCATTTTCGTAACAAATTAAAAATCTGGAATGATCTTGTTTTTAATATTACCATCGAAAGAAGACTGATTATGTGCATTTTCTCATAGGCTTATTTTCTAGATTTCATTAATGATGCGGTGAACTCCAATCAAATTAGATGGCTTAGACATGTGTTATAAATACCCAGACACCACATACTTTGACATGAGAGCCTAGCTGGTGTACGTTGAAAGCTAAGGATGGATGAATCAACCAATTCATGAACCTACGAACCGCTATGACGAAAAATTATTTTCTATCTTTAATTGTTTTTACCTTTATCGATATAGAATTGTATTATAATTATACTACTTGTGAGTAACAAATATTTATTATTTTCTCTTCTTTACGATTGGTTAGATTAACTATTGGTAAACAAACTCTTCTCTTATTAGTTAACATGTTGAATGTATTTTTCTGAGCTTGATTGCCTTGAGAATAGATTGTAGTTGTTGTGTTCATCATCTTGACTAAAACTAATCATTATTTATTGTACAACCACCTAATATTTATTTACTTTTATATATAAATATTTACAAGAAGTCAAGACAGTATTTTGACTTTAATCGACCTTGAGTGGATTATTACAATGAAGTTATCCATCGATACAGGTATTATTCCAACTCCTATTTATCTTGTTAACTTCATCTTGGTAAGCTGTTGTGGAACAGCAACTTGGACATTTGTGCTAAGTCTTACACTTTATGAATAACTGAGTCAATATTCTTATTAGCGAAACTTTTTACACAAGATGATTGGGTTAAGAAATTCCAGTGCATTGTCTAGGAATTAGATATTTATGAAGATTACATGTCTTATGTCAGCCCGTCTGTAGGGTCTATCTTTAATCAAGTTGAATAAAGCATCATGTTTTACTGGAAATTTAGGTAAAATGTGAACAGTATAAAAATAAGTCTACATATATTCATACCACTTTATAGGTTGAACTAAAATAAATTGTACTCCGATAAAATATTACCTCTCTCTCTCATAAAAAAATCAATAATTCTGATAAATCTTTCTACATTTAGAATATAGCAACACCGATAGAATATGAGGATAACAATGAACGAAAGGATTCGCAGCATTAGCAAGATAATCCCTTAACTTGATAGCCTAACTGCTAAATGTATAATTCGAGATTATTATGAATTATGACTAGTAGTGGAAAGTGACTAACACATTGTATCTAGGTTGCACTTACCTGCAGAAAGTCCGCTAGGATGAGAGTCTGCCACACGAACAGCGACAGTTGACAGTGGAAGTGGACGGGCATTGCATGGACGTAAAATACTCCAAACCTGAGTTATTATTAATGGTAAACGACAGTAAATAGCTCGTCTGGTCTCTGAAACTTTCCCATAAGTAAGCTCAGTAAGAAGACGTCGCTCATTTTCCCGAGCACGCACCTTAGGAAAAAAACACAAAGCTATGAATGATACATTTTTTATATTAACACGTTCTGTAAATTATACCTCAAAATTAAACTCACGAGTCCGATAAAAAACTGAAAAGTCAAATGATATCTTTGTTTAATGATAAGCACAGTGAAATGTCAGCATATATATAGTGATGAATCCTTCGATCTATAAGAAAAGCACACATAAAAGCCAATGTAACAAGTTTCAGTAATAGACGATATGCGGCTAACAGTGGAATTTAGGACGTGTCTATTGTCTAATTTGGAACTTATCAGCTGGATTTACTTGCGTTCCGTTGTTGATAGTCACACTGAGACTCGAATCCAGTAAATTTCGCTTCAGGCGTCCAACAAATCAATTGCAGTCACGAATATCAGCAGTGAAAAGTCGTAAATGGTTAGGTAAATGTGTTAAAGAATCTTCGAAATGAAGAAAGATGAACTTGAAGCCATGATCCAAAAGTAAATAGTGGTTGAATGTACTGCTAACGAAACCACAGATTCACTCAAGGAAATAATGAAGAAAATATAATAAACTAGATATATTTAGACAGAACAAGAACAACAAGGTTTGCATAATAAATGAATTCATTAGTCTATTTCACAGTTTCTCACCAGCTGCATACAACCAAAAATTATAATTATTAATATTAAAAAAATTCTTAACAAAAGTTTAGCATATTTTAATGTAGCCCGGTGAGTAGTAAACCTTTAGACCATTTAACTCATGTTTAGTGGCTTACACACCCAAATATTTATTTATTTGAACACATAAATATTGGTACAAGAGAGCACCGAATATATATGCGCCACACAAAACAATGGGAATTTGAAGAGGAGAAGGAAAAAAGGTAAGGAGCGTTAAAAAAAACCAATAACGACCAGATTAGTGTAAGGAAGTGTAATAATAATAATAATAATAGGGGAAACGGAAAGGTACAACCAGAAGAAATTTTTCAGTTAAGGAAGATACGACCACTTCTTAGGAAGAAAGTAAAGGAAGGTTACAGCAGGATCGCCACTGGCTTCTATTCTGAGCCATATCTGATAACGTCTCTAGCCACTGTGTCGCACAACCTCTCGGACCCCAACCAGGGAGTCGTGAAGGACCAACACAAGCCAGCCCTTTGCAGCTTTCTTCCATACCCCGACACCATGTCATACACTAACCACCTCCGCTTTTTCCAACCAGTCCCAGCATCGGCAAATAATGCACAACGTGGAATTCTCTGGAACCACATTCGTAGAACATGTTCAAGCCACCAAAGTCGGTGTTTCAAGATGTTGACACTAATTGGATTATCGTCTCTGTGCCCGAACACACGATGCCGAACCTCTGCATTAATGACATGGTGTTGCCACTGAATGTCAGCAATCCTTCGAAGACAGCGGTGATCAAACAAAGAGTTCCAGATGTTCTTTAGTTGTAGATATGCTGCTGTTGCTTTGTGTTATGTTCGTTATGCTTGAATGCTACTACTGATTCGTCTTACTCGAACGGAATGAAGGATCAATGATTCAGAAACTCGATAGCTATTCTGATTCGCTGTCTCCGGTTCTGCTAACTCGATCAAGAAGTCTGGGTAAGGTGTAGAAAGTGTATTCTACAGACAAACAGCAGATAACAAGTCAAGTCAAGCACACAAATCAAGCGTGTTTATACAAATATTTACAATCGATATTGTCATGGAAAATTTCTAAACATTAATCAATGAGTTCATCAATTGACCGCTATTTAACATTTAATCGATAGTTCATCAATTGACCTATTTGCACATTTAATCGATAGGTTCATCAATTGACTGCCATTCAAACATTTAATCGATAAGTTCATCAATTGACCCCAATACAAATATTTAAGCATTTAATCGATAAGTTGATCGATAAGATAAAATTTATAAATATGAGTTTTGGGGATTTATTGTCCCCAACACTTTGCCGATCCGCACCTTCATATCTGAATCAGATCCACCATGTTCATCAATGATGCTGCCCAAACATGTAAAGGTTTTTGCATCTTCCAAAGCTTCTCTGTCAAGTGTGATTCGGTTGGTGCATGCTTCGTTGTATCGGAGAATCTTGCCTTTCCCTTTATATATGTTGAGACTTACTGCTGTTGAGGCTGCTGCTACACTGGTCGTCTTCTCCTCCATTTGTTGTTGCGTGTGCGATAGAAGAGCCAGATCATCTGCAATTAGCCAATCACTTATTAATTTAAATACTTTTACATCACCTCCGAATTATTACTTTCTAGAGCATAAATACACATATATCTTTATTATGTTTATTCATATACTCGGTATCCCTTTTCTTATTGCAATGATTTTGGTTACGTTTTGACAACTGTTACTCTTCGTGGTGGAGCATAGGCCGCCTACCGGCATTCTCCATCCAACTCTGTCCTGGGCAGTCTTTTCCAGTTGCTAATCATCCTTTTCATGTCTGTTTCCAATCCTCGACACAGTGTGTTCTTTGGCCTTCCTCTCTTTCGTTCCTCTTTAGGATTAAGTTCGGACTTGTCTTGTGATGCAGTTTGGTGATTTCCATAATCTATGTCCTATCTGACGTTTTGAACAGTTATCTAAACATTACAAACTAAAGTTTGTCAAACACTTGCTAATAATTATATTTATATTAATTATTGCAACTCTTGGGTTGCATGCAGCTGACGAGAATCCGTGAAATAGTTTGTTGGATTCACTCTATCCTGCGAATCTTGTTGCTCTTGCGCTGTTCAAATTTGTTAAGGGATATGGTTGTATGGAATTAGATATAAGACAAAGCCCATACTTCCAAATTACTTGATTATGGCAATAGTGATGCTCATCTTTACCATTACTACTACTATTATTATTAGTAGAAGTACTACTACTACTACTACTAGAAGTATATTTGTTAGGAATTTTAGTCATCAGTCAGTGGTCTTGAGTGCTGTTACGGAATTTATTCTCAACTTCAAGGAAACTAGTATCCTTTTCTATAGAACTGTGTTGAAAATTAAAGAAATCATCACGAATAAGTGTTGACAGATATTTAGTCGAGGTTGTAAAACATCCTGATGATTATTAAAAATCGTATGACTTTTTGAAATGGTGTACACCATGCGTTCAACTGTGAAATCATAAAAGAAAACAATTAGAAATATCGCTGACATTGTAACAAAAAAAGAGAAATCTAATCATTTCTAAGGACCAACTAACTTTCAAATACCTTTACTCAGTTAAAATGATGTACTCAAACAAACAGATCACAGATATGAGGATGGTAACTCAACTGATTAGATAAACAAATGTAAATCACATATAGATACTGATATCACTCACTTTATTGAGAAGTGCTAGAGATATACCCTTTAAATTATTCGGTGTAGAAGTAATCACTCTATCGTTAGACTCTTTAGAATCTGTTTGCACACCTACAAGATTGCTTGCTGTATATGCTGTGCTATCAATAATATTGGATACTTTCAGTGGCGATGCTGCTACAGACTTCTTTGGACTTGGTATAGGAGATAGTTGTTGCTTGGACAGAGATATTTGATGACACGTATCGGCTTCACGAAACAGAGCACGAGCTTGAAATGCTTTGACAGCATCTTTTGCTGATGTAATCTTCTGCTCAAAATCTGATGGCCTAATAGGCAATGGTGATGAAACTATATATGCAACAGCAGATTCTAAAGGGAATTTCGGATGCCAACGACGAAGGGATGAATCTTCTGGAAGTTCAGATGGATCTATTCCAAGCTCCGAAGTTAAAAACACCTGAAAATATCAAACGATTCGCAATTCAGTGTAACTATAATGTGCTAATGACCAAATGTTCTTGTTGTATAGAACATATGTTACTACCAAATGTATATTTAAGTATCTGGACAGATATACTCCGGAAATAAAAATCTTCCTACATGTAACATCCTTTCTACATAACCTCTGGAAACATGTAGCTAAATTGTTACTATATAAGACGTTTTTTACTGGACATCAGCGCAGTAAGTGACATGGATAATGATTACTATTGATTGAATCAATAACAAATGTATTAATACAATAAATAATGGTGGGTTAAATCAGTGATCACAAAGTCATCGTATATATACTGAAATAATGAGTTCTTGCTAACTACATAAAGTAGACTGAGGTCAAATTAAGCTCCATCACGAATGTTTGTTAATTAAACATTACTGATGTGTAGTTAGTGCGACCCGAGAAAAGCCGTCAGTCAAGACTAACTCTAGTACTAAGAGGTATGGAGGATGGTCGAAATTCTGCATTGTGGAATTATACTACTTTTCGAGTAAACCGACACAGAAACTATCTTAGTAGTGGTCCTATTGATATAGGTGTGATTATCAAGTTACAAGGATATGTACTCCAGAACGGTCAGTTGCTGTTTTTGTGAAGTAATTTTTAATTTATTAGCTTCGTACTTTTGAAAAATTGCAGCTAACACTGGAATTTTATAGAGCAGTAGAGGATGAGCTACTTTTAAGCTCAACCTTTCCTAACTTGCTTCTGTTGTGGAAAGGGAGGATTGCCATAAGTATTGATTATTCGTAAGAAACGATACTGGTGTTACACCTCAGCATAGTCGGCAGGATAGCTTTACCTTCAAATCTCAATTTTGTTGTCTTTAGTCTGATCGCTTTGCAACCGCAATGCCTAGAGTGGTAGAACTACAAAGAACAAATGTTTTAGTCAACAGATCTCGAACGGTTCAACACAAGAACCAAGTCTGACCATCACTCTATGGTACAAGCTAAAGATGCAAGTCAGAAAAGTAGCTGATCACATATTAAATACAAAGTTCTTTAGAATTAAACTGCTAAGCAAGCTACCATTAGGCTATAATACAACCAATATATATGTACAAATGAAAATAATTATAGTAAATTTAAGAAATCATAACTAACCCGATGTGATTTTAAAACTAGATTAATTAACAGAGAATGGAAACGATTTCGACGTTGAATTAACCGCGTCCCACTGAATGGTAGAAATCCTTTCGACGGAGAATCATGTCCAACTTTTGTTCCATCTGAAATGAGGAAAATTTCTTAATCAAAATCTAAAAATCAACACAATTTAAACCCGTTGTATATTAGTAAACAGTGGAACACAAATACCTTATGTAATACAAATAATAGATGGTAATTAGCTGTCTAAATTTGCAGCGACAGATACTGCAACTAAAAGGATGTGTTGCATGTACTCGGATTTTAGTGAGCTTCAGTATTTATTTCAACTATGGTAAAAATCGATCACTTTAGTTGCTAGATATCTTAACAATATGCTAAAAGCTGTGATAAAGAGTAGACTGAGCTTAAACTAAGCTGCAACGTCTCAATTAATAAGCACAAAAAATATGAGTCACTGGTATTAATTGTAATAAATCATTTATAATAATTCGTAAGAATCAGTTGAAAATGTATGTAGTTCACCACTGAGATAACAGTGGGTACCTTAAATGTAGATTAGAACATGAAAAAGATTTAGGGACTAGTAAATGAATAAAACACCTAGATTTTCGATTAGAATCCTAATTTCATAACACCTAGCAATATATAAATATATCAGTATGGGGATTTGTGGAGATTGTATTATTTTCACAATTGAAATCACGAATCCATCTCAACTAGAACACCGGTGAAAACTTGGGAGTATTGGACGGCCGTCTCGTCCAAGTGTTGTGCACCTCAGAAGTGCGCACCCACGATCCCGCGCGGGGAACTCAAACCCGGGACCTTAACTTCTAGATCACTGAGCCGGCAATCCAACGGTGTTAAGACTTAACTCCAATCAATCCATGATCTTGAAAAACCCTTCATCCATTGCCCGAGGTGGATATATCTCATAACCGTCCCGTGTGTGGGATCGTGAATGCGCACTGCTGATGAGTCTTATACAAGGACGAGACGGCCGTCCAATACTTTCAGATTTCCAATGGTGGTCTAACTTAGATCAACTCGTGATTTTAATCGTGAAATTAATAGAATCTCCCTAAATGCCCATACTAATAGCAGTCATTTGCTCACTAGTGACTAGCTTCACAACGTAACTCCTAGAGTTCTAATGAGAGGCCGTGACCAGTGGAGTCCAATCCGAATATACATATCAGAACTCACTAAAACACAATTATAGGTCACACATACAATTAATTATCTATACTAAAGTTCTGTCCAACGTATGAAGTTTTTTTTGCTTTCAAAACGGGAAAGTAATATAATCCTGAAGATATTTATCCCACTAACCGTTAATGTTTTACCACTTAGTGAGACCACATAGTTATTGAATACCAATGTAGGACTAAACCCGAAGTAGATGTACAAAACTTGCTGAAGCCTCGATCCTCTATTAACTAATAATGTTCGAACCTAAAATCTTAAATCATATTTATGATAAAATAAATATCGCTGATGCCATAGAATGACGGTTGCGCAATATCACAGTTTGCTCGAGGTTAGAAATGTAAACCATTAGATGCTAATTAAAGGGTCTGAAGGTTAAGCATTTTCCGAAAGGTATCAACGTCCTGAGTTTGATTACAGATGAGACAGTGGAAATGAATTGTTGAGTAGTCCCATTCTATGGAGAAACAGAGGTTAAGTGCTTCCTGGTTTCTAGTAATTCTTTAACTAAAGCCAGTCAGCGGTGTGGGGCTTCAAAAGATAAAATACTTAATTTTCTACACTATCATTGGTGTAGTCATACCTACAAAACTATAATTTTAGATGTCATAAAAATGTAAGCAAACGTTGACTTCACTACTGAAAATATTTTGAACACATACCAGTACGTAAATTGGGTGATAAAACGAGTACATAATTCCCATTTAATCGATGTGTGAATTTATCAAACTGCTTCTCATAGCGCAGAAAATAAACCATAGGATAGACAGTTAGAAATTGACCGATATGAGTTTCTTCAAAATTCCTAGATGATATACAAGAAGATAAATAAAAAAATTTACATAAATTAGCAATACGGTGTGCTAATCACCATGGAAGGTAGAACCAGACAATAGCCAAATAAGTCAAATGGATTAAAATCCACATTTCATAATAACTAGCAGTCGAGAACCCCAACTACAAAATCAAAACACCATTGTGAGAGAATTAACACAACTGCGAAAAAAACTAGTTTGAATCTACTCAAATAAGGAAAAAGATTCTGGAGATAGAGTAGAAATCACTGAGTTTACTCTCAGATCCTCCCTTAGGAAATCGTTTTAAACTATTTGAAATACTATTATTTCAACACATAAATATTCGTATAAGAGGGCACCAAATATGTATGCGTCACACAAAACAATGAAAATGGGAAAACAATAACGACCAGATTAGTGTAAGGAAGTGTAATAATAATAATAATAGGGGAAACGGAAAGGTACAACCAGAAGAAATTTTTCAGTTAAGGAAGATACGACCACTTCTTATGAAGAAAGTAAAGGAAGGTTACAGCGGGATCGCCACTGGCTTCTATTCTGAGCCATATCTGATAACGTCTCTAGCCACTGTGTCGCACAACCTCTCGGACCCCAACCAGGGAGTCGTGAAGGACCAACACAAGCCAGCCCTTTGCAGCTTTCTTCCATACCCCGACACCATGTCATACACTAACCACCTCCGCTTTTTCCAACCAGTCCCAGCATCGGCAAATAATGCACAACGTGGAATTCTCTGGAACCACATTCGTAGAACATGTTCAAGCCACCAAAGTCGGTGTTTCAAGATGTTGACACTAATTGGATTATCGTCTCTGTGCCCGAACACACGATGCCGAACCTCTGCATTAATGACGTGGTGTTGCCACTGAATGTCAGCAATCCTTCGGAGACAGCGGTGATCAAACACAGAGAGTCTTCTAACATCCTCAACTCGGAGAGGCCAGGTTTCACAAGCATAGAGCAGAACTGCTCTCACCAATGCGTTGTAGATCCGACCTTTTACAGCCAGACTAACATCACGAAGGCGCCAAAGATGGCCCAGATTGGCATAAGCCAATCTGACTTTCACTATACGTGCATTGATCTCATCACTCACGCCACCATCAGCACTTATGCAGCTACCTAGATGCACGAACTTCTCGACTACTTCTATCTGCTCACCATCCAGGGTGAATACAGGATTAGAATCCTGCCAGTCTTGTAGAATTACTTTGCACTTCGAAGGTGCAAAGCACATACCGTACCTACGGACACTAATTGCCAACTGATTAAGTGCGGATTGCATGGCTCGGGCTACCATCAATACCAACATGAATGCATTTCATGCAGTCACCATTATCATATGTATTTAATACTGTGGGAAGAAAATTATTACTACTGACGATTTCTAGTCATATTATGAAGAATAGCTGATCAGCTTATAAGGATCAACAACAGCACTTGAAACCTATTTTACTGTGTTCAAACTTTATGTCCATCACAGCAAAAGGAATCAGCATACTGGAAATCTAGGAATAAACAATATAGGAGAACTATAATACTCTCCTCAATTGTAACTCTCAATGATCATGTTATCGACTTAGAATGTAACTCACAGATCACAAAATGAGTAAAATGAACAAATGAAATAGTGATGCCTAAACGTAGCTCTAGTCACCTATTATCCAAAGAATTAGCGTGGCACAATATTTAAAAGTCTACTCATTGGGTTGCAAAAAGTTAAAAAATTAACAAATCACTTCAATAATAAAAAGCTCGACAATTACCGACTGAAAAAGACTTAATCTACCTGCGCGTAATTTCTTGAACAGCTGGTTGGATTTTATCGAAACTGCAAAGTTCTTTTCTGTTGTGCAGCATGCTGACAACTGTATCACAACTTCGAAAAAGTTCCAACAAAACTTGTAAGTTGTGAGGAAGAAAAAGATCAGGAGGGACTGTTAAATCTGTTTGTGTTAAATCAAGATCCTTAGAAGATACAGCACTCTGAGTTTCAATAGAAGTTTCAGGTTCAGTCGATTGTGGCTTTAATGAAGAAACAGGTTCTGATAAGTGAGCGAAACGTTTAAAAGCAGGCAGCTTTGAACTATTATCTTGTATTGAGTCTGATGACTGAGATGATTTTAGCTTGATCACTTTCTTCAGCTGTGTGCGTTTTTTCAGCTGTATGACGGTCTATAAAGGACAACAAACAAAATGAACACGAAAATTCCTAGTTTTCAAATGATGGAGTAGCGTAAATACACAGAAAGTAAGTTATTGGTTTTTAAGAATTTAAACGTGACATCTTTAGTTGTTAGTCGCACTTTAATACACAGGTTGAAGAGAAGTTACTTGATAAACGAAATATGAACTCGGACCTCTCCATAGCACTGCTGGGTAGTGGGGGCAACTTCATTAGCTAACGGGAGGTCAGGAGATCGGACTATTCTACCACTATTGTAACCTGGACCCGCTCTCCCTCTCAAAATGCTCTCACATGGCCACGCGTATACAGCCTCTGCCAGAGAAGTCCTACTCACTGCCTTCTCGTGGCGGGGGTGTTGTTTACAAAAATGAGAGGACGAAAAGCGAATGTCCGGCGCTTTAACCAGATCAAAAACCAATGATGCACATGGGCTCCAGTATCCTGAGGGAACAAATGGTGTGTGAACCAATCTTGGTCACCAGCTACCATGGGATTGCATCTCCTCACAATGCTCCACTGCCTTGTGAGTTAGACTTTTAGGTCAAAGGCTCGGGATGTGGCCCCCTAAGAAAACCACCTGCTTCGGTTTGGGCACCCGGGCAGTATCACAGCTCACACACAAACAGAATGAAATGACAATACTTAGGGAAAATACTACACTTGCTTCGATTAAGTCAAACGATTCACGTTATTATTATTACTTACTACGTCATTTACTCACTCTCTTTTATTCCCACTTTATGTAAGTATGTATTTTTCCACTTATACAGCAGATCGCCTATGGTGGAAATTCGACTCAATCTAAACGTTCTCAAGTCACTGTCCGGTTGAAAATTGTATGCTACCACCAAATACGAATACTGAAGCAGTTTTTCTGAAACCACGTGCACCATTCAACGTTCGCACACTTATGCAGGTCGGACAACAGATAGGGCTGGCTGTGTCTTTATACCCTCCTTACCATTTTTTTCTTTTTCCTTCTCTTCAAACTCTCATTGTTTTGTGTGGCACATATATATTTGGTGCCCTCTTGTACCAATATGCATGTGTTCAAATAAATAAATAAATAATATCTTTGGAAAGTCTTAATATCGATGTTTGTTGTCTATCCGAGACCCGCATTCAAGACTCTGGTGAAGTACTACAAATTCGCTCTCCATCTGTCGCTTCAAAAAGCTTGTTTTACTTGAGTTTATCCGGGGACCCTGTGGCATCTTCGTCCGTTCTTGCTGGCGTTGGTGTTGCACTGAGCGTTAGAGCTAAGGTTGCACTAATCGACTGGATCCCCATTAACAGTCGGTTACGTGCTGTTAGATTAGGAAGTTCCATCAAAGTGAGAAGAAATCGGCGTGAGGAACGATGTCTTTTCGTCATCAACTATCGAGGGATAAGCTTACTTCCGCTTGCGTTCAAGCTACTGGCTTCTGTCATACTTCGTAGGTTGTTCAAAAGCCGAAAAAGATTGACTCGCGAGGAGCAGGCTGGGTTTCGTTCCGGTCGAGGATGTATTGATCATATCTTCACCCTCCGCCAATGTTAGAACACCGCCATACTTATCAAAGGCCAACAATCGTAGTGTTTCTCGACATTAGGGCTGCCTTCGATTCGTTGGACAGGACTGTTCTCTGGGATTGTCTATTGAAGAAGGGTGTGCCTGAGAAGTTTATTAACATCCTAAAAGCCCTATATACAAACACCTCAGGCAGAGTGAAGGCATACAACCACCTTACTCCACTGTTCCATTCAAGCATTGAGGTTAAGCAGAGTTGCTCAATCCCACCATCTCTCTTCAACTTTGCCATCGATGACATTCTGGAAAGAGCTCTGATGGATGCAAGTGATGGTGGTGTGGATCTGTTGCCTGGTGAAAGACTTCTCGATCTTCAGTATGCGGATGACATTGTTTTACTGTGCTATAATGCCCAATGCATGCAATCCGAACTTAATCAGTTGGCAATTAGTGTCCGTAGGTACGGTATGTGCTTTGCACCTTCGAAGTGCAAAGTAATTCTACAAGACTGGCAGGATTCTAATCCTGTATTCACCCTGGATGGTGAGCAGATAGAAGTAGTCGAGAAGTTCGTGCATCTAGGTAGCTGCATAAGTGCTGATGGTGGCGTGAGTGATGAGATCAATGCACGTATAGTGAAAGTCAGATTGGCTTATGCCAATCTGGGCCATCTTTGGCGCCTTCGTGATGTTAGTCTGGCTGTAAAAGGTCGGATCTACAACGCATTGGTGAGAGCAGTTCTGCTCTATGCTTGTGAAACCTGGCCTCTCCGAGTTGAGGATGTTAGAAGACTCTCTGTGTTTGATCACCGCTGTCTCCGAAGGATTGCTGACATTCAGTGGCAACACCATGTCATTAATGCAGAGGTTCGGCATCGTGTGTTCGGGCACAGAGACGATAATCCAATTAGTGTCAACATCTTGAAACACCGACTTTGGTGGCTTGAACATGTTCTACGAATGTGGTTCCAGAGAATTCCACGTTGTGCATTATTTGCCGATGCTGGGACTGGTTGGAAAAAGCGGAGGTGGTTAGTGTATGACATGGTGTCGGGGTATGGAAGAAAGCTGCAAAGGGCTGGCTTGTGTTGGTCCTTCACGACTCCCTGGTTGGGGTCCGAGAGGTTGTGCGACACAGTGGCTAGAGACGTTATCAGATATGGCTCAGAATAGAAGCCAGTGGCGATCCCGCTGTAACCTTCCTTTACTTTCTTCATAAGAAGTGGTCGTATCTTCCTTAACTGAAAAATTTCTTCTGGTTGTACCTTTCCGTTTCCCCTATTATTATTATTATTATTACACTTCCTTACACTAATCTGGTCGTTATTGTTTTCCCATTTTCATTGTTTTGTGTGACGCATACATATTTGGTGCCCTCTTATACGAATATTTATGTGTTGAAATAAATAATTAATAAATAAACAAATTATGGAAATGCAGGAAAAATATCCGATACATATAACAACATGACGAAGAAGCTTTGTCAGGTCTCTAAGTGGTATTATATGTTTTAACAAGTCACTCACTAAGACCTGACTTATATTTAAAGATTATTACAGTTTATTTACGTCGTTTAAGTAATTGGAAGGCTGGTATCAATGACACTTTCAGTTTGATTTTTAATACTTGGTAACAAAACTGGATGTAAGCTGAAGTGTTAGGACGAGATAATCACTTATTTGTTTATGGTACATTTCACGACATTGTCGTCTTAATGTAATCACACTACACCACACAATCTTGGGTAAGAGAGCGCTTAATAACGATGATCAGTTAAAACTTGACAAACAGTTTTATACCCAAAAATCATTAGTTTATGGTGACGCCGTGAAGCTAAAAGTTTGTAACTACTCATGAAAACGTCAGTGAAACCAGTTTTAGTACTAAAAGTATTTACAGACCACCGCTACAAATAAAAAAATACGGTGAAACTGACCTTTTCTTGAGGCGGAGGGCGAAATGAGGAGCTGCTTAGGACTTCACTTTGTTTATCTAACTTTATGACAGTAGTTCTTATTGTTTCAGCCTCAGGAGCGGACTCTTGAGTCGGTTTGGTAAGGTGAGAAAAACGCTGATAAGCTGGTCGCTTTGATCTGGATAACTAATAACAATATATATAATCCGAAATCTCATTATCTACCTCTGTTTCAGGCGAGGTCTCAAGAACTGCTCTTTTGGCTCTTCCTACATTTTGAGGTGTCTTACTAACTCGGAAGAAATTATCAAGACGAGTATTTGGCATTCTCGAAATACCCGCTAACGTCCAGTATTACACGAAAGTCGTTTACGCGCACTATTCGCTAACGCTGATGAAAATTATTTAGTCCAATATACAATATCTCAGTCAGTCTTCAGTAATAAGGATAAGAGGTCTGTCGACCTATATTAATCCTTGCAGTTTGTAATACTGTGGAGGTCCAATCTTGTTTTTAATATATTAACAGACGGTGCTGATATTACGTGTTCCGGTAGAGAATTCCAGTAATTCACTACTCGGTGCAAGAAACGAAACTCCAGACGTAAACGGTTTGATCTCGGTTTTTGAACTTTCTTCGAATGTCCTCTCAAATGATCGGTTCTAGACGGAAGCAAAAGATAAGACATGTTAATACCAAGGTCATCGTTCAGTATACGATAAGCCAATATTAGATCATCCCATATTCTACGGTAAGATAACGGAAATAAGTTAAGGTGTCTCAGTATGTCTTAACAAGATAGGCCAGATAGACCTTGTACCATCTTAGTAGCTCGTCGTTGGAATCTTTCTAGCATATCTGATTCATACTTTAAACAAGGACACGCTGCTTGAATCCCATATTCTAAATGTGGTCTCACATAAATCGGGTATAGTAATCTAAACATTTCATCATCTAAATACCGGAAAGACCTACGAAATGACCATGATACCCTATAACCTTACAGTGACTAGTGGTTTTGAGATCACTGCTTAATATGACTCCTAAATCTTTATAGTTTCTTGCTTTGGGTAGCACGAATCCACGTAGTGTATAGTCATACGATTCATCAGAGTTATTCAACTGCATCACTACACTCTTATTGGGATCTACTTCTAGTGACCACCTGTCTAACCATGCCACCAATGAGCTAAGATCGTCCTGTAATACTATTCTATCCGACATACTATGTATAGGTCTCCAAATCTTTATGTCATCAGCGAAAAGTAGAACGGATGATTTTGCTACAGTTGGCAATTCATTTACATGAAGTAAAAAGAGAAGAGGACCTAGGATTGAAACTTGGGGAACCCTACTTTTTACAGGTAGCCACGAAGAGAGAGCTCCATTAACCCTTACCCTTTGTCTCCTGTCATGGAGAAAGTTACTTATCCAAAACGTTCTAGTTTGGATTTAAGATCAGAGTGGGAAACCTTATCGAAGGCCTTACTTAGATCTATGAAAATCACATCCACAGGAACATTCCGATCTTTTGCAGCAGCCCAATCTTCTCTTGCAAGCAAGATAGGCCTTTCCGAAAACCATGTTGTGCCCTGGGGAAAAGATTTTGTCCTTCAACATAGTTTATAACAGCTATCCGAATGATTTTCTCCATCAGTTTCACAACTGCTCTAGTTAAGCTAACTGGTCTATAGTTACTAACAAAATCCCTACTCCCAGCCTTATACACCGGACTTATTATGGCGTCTTTCCAGTCTCTAGGAACTCTGGACTGTCTCAGAGACATATCGAATAGTATAGCTAATGGTTCAGCAATTTCATCTGATATGGCTTTCATAATCCTAGGATGAATATCATCGGGACCACTGGACTTATCAGGTTTGAAATGCTGAAGTAGCCTTAAAACAGTATCTTTCTCAATGACTACAGGATCCATCAGTGAGCCGTCACGGTCACGATGAATCATTGGTCGTTCCTCATTACCGATAGAAAACACTTTACTAAAATATTGCTATACAGCTTCAGCTTTTTCGGCATCATTCTCTGCTAAGATTAGCGGATTGTCTCGTATCAAAAGTGATGGAATTCCATCGCTTCCCTTAGTTCGCCTTTTTATATACGAGAATAACCGTTTCGGATTATATCTAGAATCCCTAATCAATTTTTTTCGTATGAATGTCTAGTCTTGCTTATTAACGCTTTACAGGCATTCCTAATCTTACAATAACTAGATCTGTATTGTTCTAAGCCAGTAGAGATGAACATACTCCAGTGATTCTTCCTTTTTCTAAGGAGTTTCCTGACCGTTTTAGTTATCCATGATGGACTATTATTCGGTCTTCGCGGTACCAGGTATGGTACGAACGGGGACGTAACTAGTCTAAATTTACCTTTAAATACAGACCATGCTTCTTCAGCATTCGCTTCCAAGACCTGACTATCCGAAAACCCACTAGTCGGAGATTTTCCTCGCCGTTTTGCCGACGGGTTTCAAGTTCAGCTAGTGCTTTCTTCCTTTTTATTCTATCTTCGAGAGACATGTCAGGTCTAACTCGGATGTGAGAATTGTCGTGACAACGAGCGCTACTTAACAAGAGATCCCGTTGATTCTCCAACCCTAGGATTACCTTAAGGAGTCTGCATGGACGGGGTTCAACATTGTCCTCGGTCCTCTTGCCTATTCTTACCAAATTTTTGACCTGAACTCCTTTGGAGTTATCTGGTAAAATACTACGAATGTATTCTCCTAGCTTTTCTAAGTCATGCGCGTGTCTAATTTTCGGATCAGGGTCGTTCGACTCCCGCAATTTGCTCACAATAATATTCGATGTTATTAGATTTTTCTTCTCAGTCACGCCAGGATGGGTTTCACTCTTACCATCAGATCTTGGTAGTGCAATTTGTGGCTCACAATTTGAGTCCACCAGTGAATTACTAACTACCTGTGTACTGCTTACAGCTTTTTCATCCCTCATAACACTGGGACTATTTGGAACGGTGACTGTTTTATCCAGATCTTCGGTTCCCATTAAAGGTGCATTATTAACAATGTCAGTACCAGGTGGTATTACTCCCCCTGTTAATGTCAACGAAGATTCCACTTTTACGTCGGTCAGAGTCGGTTGTTTGAGGCATCGCGTAACAGCAGGTACTACACTGACACATTCGTCACTGTCAGTGCCCGTGTTGTCAGCGCATATGCCATCCTTCTTTTTACAGGCCAAAGCCAACAGGCTCATAGCCTCCTGTATTAGTAATGCCCTGTTGGCACAGCAAAACATGCAAAGCCAATGTGAGTTAGGCTTCGAGCATCTTTTGTATGCGGTGGGACTTAAGCGGGTGCACATTTTGTGGAACCACTTATGGCATTCGTCACACTGCATTCCCTCTTCCACAGGGAACAAACAGTTTGGTTGTCCACATTTGTGAGTACTACCAACCATTTTAGTCTGATCAAAGTGTAATACACAATATGATCACAGTATGAACACAAATGTCAGTCAACGAATAAAAGGTTACCACAAGAAAAACTTTATCAAGATTTCAAACCTTAACGAAAGTACTTTGACACAGACCAAGAATGCTTCGAACGTAATAAATACACAAAAGCCAAAAACACTCAACAGAATATCACTTTAACTGTATTAGATTCAATTAAAGTGTAAATCGTAGTTTTGATACGTAATTTACGATCAAAACAATTTACTAATTCATCGAGAAACAATACCACTGTCCTTTTTAGATAGCGCGTAACTCTCCATCATTAGCTCGTTTTAAACTGGTTGACTTCCTTGATTTCGCTATTTGTCGTTTCGCCAAGATTTCAGGTATTTGAGTATGTTCGATAGGCAGTAGTCTAGTCACTCGATTGCACCTATTCATGTTCGTTAGTTATTTGTGAACTTGTATATCCTGTAGTTGATTGAGTGACCGAGTTTGTCTCACGTCGACGTGGCTTCCGAATACCAGTAGACAATGCATTGCAAGGTAGGATGTTGGTAGTTAGCAATGTGAAAAATAATAAGGTGATAATTCGAGTGTTCAGAGAAGACCATTGTATCAAGAAATTGATAAATAATTTACTTAATTGGTAATGCGTAAGAGGACAGATATGATATTAAGAGACGTAGAAAGTAGTAACTGATATAATGTGCCGGTAACAGTAGTGAATAATGACACGTGTATCAGAGCCGAGTGGTCCAAGTTGGGGATAGCAACCCGTAGGTGAATATATGTTGTTTAAGTCCATTCTTTAAGCTATCCACTGAGGGAGCTGCTGTTACTTCAGATGGGAGAACATTTTAAACAGAAGCAATGCTTAGTGAAAAAATTAGAGCTTACCTGAGAGTTGGCTCACTGATGTACAATCGTTCTAGTGTTGCGTCAAGGAGTCTGATGATGGTGTTCTAATAGTATGCTCGTGTTGGGGTGATTTAGCGTACTTAATATGCTGTATGTTATTGTTAGATCACCTCTTGTTCCCTTTTTGCCTAAGGAGAATGATCTCAGGTGTTAAATTCTGCGCTCATAAGATTTATGTCCTAGACCTATCACACATTAGGTTGCCCCTCTCCGTACCTGGTCTAAGAATTTTATATTCCCTTATAAAGAGATGAGAAGCTGTGACATTGTGGGTTTCAAAGTGAAGCAATGAGTATGCCTTGAACAGTGTTAGGAGCAACGTTAGGTTCGCTGCGCTAAATATTTCTCTCATAAAATGGAGATTTACATTTACTTTGATCTGATGTCTAAGTTCTGTGATTACAAGCTCGAGGTTACGCTTTGAAGAGACAGCCGGGTTTGGGTTTCCATTGGGAGTGTAAGCGTTTGCATCGAATGAAACGGAATGCTCAGACTTGAAATTTTGGTCAGGTTAGGTTTTAACGCGTTGTTTGCTGTTCATTCTTTTCTTATTGTAAGGTGTTTTTGAACCTTAAGTCCATTCCATTTTCTTTTCATGAGCCTGTGTATCTTTGCGTCGCTTGTAAAGACCAATGCCGCTGAACTAATTTTGTCTAGTGGGTCGTTAGTAAAGACCAGGAGCAGGAATATACTTAGAATTGCTTCTCACCAGACTCATGATGTTGAAACATTTTAACTCGTGTTCACTCTATCTTACTTAGGGCGAAACATCTTGTTCTCAAGGTAGCGCCAAGTTAAAAGCGATTGAGTAAAACCTGTCTCTGAAACATAAGCTATGAAAGGTACATGAAGTACTGCATCAAAGGCTCTTGTAAGATGGAGGTTTGTCACATGAACCGGTGTTTTATGGCCCTAGCAGTCATCTAGTTTTTCTATACTGTGCGTAGTTTGGATACACAGGACCTGCGTTTACGGAACCCATGTAGGGATCCATGGACGATGTTGTTTTTACCCATATATCCCGTCATTTC